GCAATAAAATATTCATCCATCCCTCCAGAAACAGTTTTCCTCAGAACAAACTATTCAAAGAGTGACTAAATGATTTGAACATTAAGTTTAACTTTCAGCTCAGTGACAGGATGTTTCTGGTGGTAGAACCTAGCGGTTTCCTGTGGCATGAAACATTACCACGGAAGCACAGTTGGCTTGACGAAAACACAGAGCGTTCACTCTTTTAACCTCTGCACTCATAACCAGTCATACCACTTTAGCCACTAACAGGCTTTTTCTCTATTAAACAAGAAACGCATTTTTAACCTTCATGTGTGACAGGAAAAGCTCACCAAAACATCATCAGGCCAGCAGCACATCTTCACATGACTGCGTTAAAGAAGCAATATGCAGCAAACATCTAAAAGCCAGAGGCTGCAGACTGAGGATCTTCAACACTATTATGTTGATGAAGTTCATTATGATGATGGTAGATTAGCGCACTTTATTCCGAGATGCCTGGATCAGGTTCATGTTGCGCAAACTGAAGCTAGTAATTACATGCCAAGAAGACAAGACTGGTCCTGACTGCGGCTCCTGAGCTTTTTAAACAGAGCCAGGACACTCACACGGTTTCTCACAGTGTCACCAATATATGCATATACAGTCTTTTTTGCTGCTGCTCCTTGCAATTTCCTTTCAGGTTTAATAAAAAGATTAAGACAAATCTATGCATCCATCTTTCCTTCTATCAATCCATTCCTCTATATTTCTTTTGTACTGTGCATCCAACCAGTCATTTATCCACATCTTTCTTTCTGTCTGTCTGTCCGTCCATCTTTTTTTTTACTCTTTCTACCTATAATGTTTCTGTCTACCCATCCTTCTTTCCTTTTGTCTTTCTATCCATTTTTCTTTCTTTATATCTATCCCTTTCTTTTTCTTTCTTTCTTTCTTTCTATCATCTTTCGTTTGTTTTTTCTTTTGCTCATTTGTTCATATATCTCTCTTTACTGTCTTCCTATCCGTGTCTTTCTTTTATATATATATATATATATATATATATATCCTTTTCTTTTTATGCTTCTCTATCTTTCATTTGTTTTTTTCTTTTGTTCAGTTCTCATCTCTCTCTCTCTCTCGAAACTCATGTATCATTGATTGTTCATGACTGGGACGCAGTAGTGGTGTGATTAGAGGGACTCTGCCCACTCTTCATTCCAGGACTGATTAACATAGCCGAATGAGGCGAGTGGAGTGATGATGAGGCAGGATGAGTTAGCCCCTTTAGGGGAGCATGACTAGGCTGGGTGAAAGGACTGGGGCTTTGCACTGTACAAACACACAGAGAGCCTAGCCTGTGTTTGGGTGCAGTGGTAGGGAAGAAGAGAGTCCTGTTTGGATTGAGCTCCCAGTCGTCACTGTCTGTACAGTCAGCTGGACTGCTGTGTGTCATGCGCCTGTTAGGAAACTCCGCACACTCAGTGCAACATACATGTCACGGGTGTTTGACTTGTTTAAAAAGCACAAACATCATAAGCTTTTGTTAACTAAAGGCTTCTATAACTGAAATCAGGGTACTTAGATAGAAGGTTATTAATGGGTTGTGAAAAATACACAATGCATACGCAATCCTGCATGTGCAATATTGCAACAGGAAAAAGCAACGCAGACTGTGAAAGAAAAGCAAAAGCGAGGAAATGTTGTCAACACAGAAGGCACAAGATGCAAGCATGTGACAGGATAAGCAAACCTGTCAGTCATAAAGTCAAACCAGAAGGTTCAAACCATGCCACAGGTTTTAGTCACTTTGGTAAGAACAGTGATGACACAGGAAGTTTAAAACCACCTTTTACATGTGCGTTCGTCAACAATTGTAGGTTGAGATTTTTCTTTTTTCTCTGTGAAAAAGCCCAACCCACTTCCATAATAATGACTAAATGCTTTTGCAGTTCGTCATTTTTTTTCTTCTTTTATGAAGACTTACTGGTGGTTTGTTGGACGTTTTCTTAGTCAAGTCCCAATATGTTGGAGGAAAAAAACCGTAAAGGCATATCCAGACAAGAGAGTTAAAGCTGAGATGACCTTGCCAACTACCCACACCTAGTTCAGTTTGCTTTCATCAGCTAAGAAGGCCCTCCTGTCTGCATATGCCCAATGAGGATCAAGGATTTTAATATGCTCATGTGAAAGCAGACTGGTTTTGTAAAACTGACTCACTCACTGGGAGTGGGTTTCTAACAATGCCTAGTATAAATGTTCTTTGAAGTAGCGGACAAGCTAGGACTCCTCTCTAGAGTCTTGTTCTGATGAAATATGAGCCTCAGTTCCTCTCTCTAACCTCTCTTGAAGTGTGCTCAGGGAGGTCGTAGACTAAGGCCCTGTATGAACAGGGGAAGTTTACTTTCCTTTTATTCACAGCATGATCTGTTAGATTTACTCCCATGATACTGCTATGGATTCAAGCAGGACAGAGGTCCATTTAAATGTTGCTCTTCTTGAATCCTGAATAATGAATACAAACGCAAATTTTGACCCCAGAATGCTTCCTGGGAGCACGGGAAAACCAGAACAAAGTGATACTATGACTGCACCTTTTAACTATATGATATTGCTGAAGTGGAAGATGATCATCTCATAGACATTCAGTACTTTGCAAAAAAGTAAAAGGCACACATTTAATTTCCAGTCAAAACAGCCATTAAATGCAAGTTATTCATTTTCAGAAGATTTTTTTGAGGATATTAGACAAAAGAATCAAGGAGATAAAAAATTGAGTTTCTAAAACTGGGGTTCAAAAAATTATTGAAAGAGAAAATTAGACTCCTAACAACTGTCCAAGACCTGGCAGAGCACCAAAACTGTCACCATCAGATAAACAGTACTTAAAGCTTTTATCTTTTACGAAGAGGAGAAAATCAAGCTCCACTCTTGCTTCAGATCTGAAAAAATCCACAGGTGTTTCTGTCCATCTTTCCACTGTGAGATGAGGACTCCACGCTATGAGTCTGAAAGGATGTGTAGCTGTCAAGAAGACCTTACTGAGAAAACAAAACAGATAAAAAAGAAAACAACTTGCAAATCAAACAAAAAAAAACTGCTGGTTTTCTCATAACAACAAACTGACCTCCCCAGAGTCCAGACCACAACATCATTGAATGTGTTTGGGATTGCTTGGATTGTGAGAAGCAGAAAATGCAGCATGATGTTTTATTAAGTTGTTGAGACGTCTGTGTTTTTTTTCCCGCTGGCACTCAAAAATGAATAATTGTACTTAAATGAAGGGTGGCCTCTGATTTTGCACAGTACTGTACGGTATGTATTTGTGCCAATAACGCACTGTCTATGGTAGACACAGAGAAATCACTCAAATGACAATGTATGATGAGACCACAAGGAATTTTATCAGATTTATAAGAGAGCAATGGATACTCCCAATGGCAAATTAGATTTTCCACCAGTCGCACCTCCAACTGCTTTTTTTAATGAGATCTCCCTGTCCCACTATGCTTCCTTCCCCTAAGCAGAGAATGTCAAATTGAGGCTGGGGGCAGGCAAAATGTCAGATTTTGCTCTGCTGTGTTAATGTGGCTTTTATTCTTGGAGGCCTTCCATAAGATTTTCCCCAATTTCATTTAAATGGATTTAGCACTGGCCTGAATGTCTGCCTGTATGCCTTTAAAGCCAAGCTAGTCTGGTATTAGTGGTTTCACGACAGGGAGGCTAACGAGGTAATTACCGAATCTTATACTTTCTGACTTGACAGAGCTCTTTAACATTACGCCCTAATTCGATTACCGTTTCTTCATTAGTAATTAACAAGGTCATTTAGTCTGCCTCTTCGTAACCAACGGCAAAATCCATAATTCATGGCAGTGCTGTTTCATTCATTTTCAAAAAAAACAATGATGGCCAGTATATCAGACTGGTTCAGTGCATTACTGCAGTGTCAGGGTCACATTGTGTCTAACATTGCTGTTTCATGTCTGGGGTCTTAAAAGGATGTGTACACTTCAGCATTAGACAAAAAGAAAAAAAACAACCCTTTCTCCCTCCTCCTCATCCACTAGCATCCAGCCTTAATCTTCACATTATAAGCATGAGCCGCAGACAATGGATACTAAAGCATCTGCTCCTCTCTGCTTGGTGGCCAGTTTGTTATGGTAGATCTTAGGCTGATTGAGGACATCTCCCTCTGTATCCAAGCATGCTGATTGCTCATCTGCATACCAATCAGCCCTGGAATAGGCACAATGAACAGTGCCTGTAGATGTACCTCACATCAAAAAAAAATCACTGCAGCAACAATTACTGAGCAAAGAGAACTTGGTGAAATCTTTCAGGGAACATGACATGTCTTTCAAATTGTTTTAAAGACCAGCAGGCATGACAGCAAAAGTGGTGATGTGTTTTTTGTGGTTAGGCAGGGTGTGGTGCTGCTGTAAAGAGGAAATAGGCTGAGGCTGTGAGAATACTGCGAGAACATGATTGACATCGTGCAACAACACCAGTGACAAACTCTTCAAGGCTAACCATTGTAGAAGTGTGGCTATAACTCCAGTCCTATTGTCAGGAAAGGGATTTGTGCTCCCCCACCCCCCCAATCTTCTTTTCTTCTTCAGTGCACCTTCCATCCCAGTGGTTACTAGGAGACAGTGAAGGGGTGCATGGCGAAATTGTGAAATGGAGGAACAGTGGGTACCCTGTAGCAGGCAGCTGTGAGGAGCGAAAAAAAAAAACAAAAAAAAACACACCCACCTGCTTCACCTCGCAATTCTCACACCCCCCCGTGCCTATTCCGTGCACCCCTCATCACAGAAAGCACACATCATGCTGAAACCACACCAAAGGCTGAAAAGCAACCCTCTGCTGCTCCATTGTGCCAAGATGCTGGGTGAGACTGGCATTGCCAGTCTATGTACCCACAAAATTATTAAACCATTCAGTTGCTACAGCAATTATTTTATCAGTGCATGTGCTGTGACATCTTTCAAGTCCATGTTTGCACTACAACTTGACTTAATATCCAATAACACTGGTTTAGTGTTGTAGACGTGGTTTTTATTTGCTTGACTCTGTGGTTTATGACTCTCCAGAAGAAGGTGGGATCTGAGTTTTCAGTAAGTCAGAAAAAAAAACAAAGTTACAGTAAACAGGACTGTGACAGAATGGATAAGGAAAAAAAATAGGCCACACTAAATTTATTAATAAAGCAATTTAAATTTTTTTAAGTGTCATACACTTACAGTGAGCCATTAGTGAACTATAATGTTACTGGCCACAATAAATACTCAAATATGTCCAAATGTACAAAGCCGAAACCACTTGTCGTTACACTTCTGCATTACAGATTAGCCATGAATGTACCCAACAGAGAAGGAACTTGGAACTGGCACACAGTGTGCACCAGAACACCTTTATGTACTTTTACGCAGCTTTCAATGGTGAATAGAAATAAATCCAGGCATGAACATCTTTCTTAGTTGAAATTTGAAAACCCTGCTATGCTACTTCATTGGTAACAGTCACTCAGTCCAATATACTCCTCTCTCTCTCTCTCTCTCTCTCTCACACTCTGCCCTTCTTTCTCTCTCTCTTTCACTCTCTTACTCGGCAGGCTAGGCCAGAGCCATGCGTTGGGGCTTCTCCAAGTTGGCACGGAATCTGTCCAAGAAGCGGGAGGCGAGTTCGTCGTCCACTAGTCGTCCGTCGCTGGACAGGGTGACGGTCATTAGTTGCCGGGTACGGAGGCTGGGGCCTGAGCCATCCTGGCTTTCTGGGGTCAGCGTCAGCTCATCCCTGGAGCGGCCCACTGCCAGGATACAGGACTGTGGAGGGTTGATTACTGCACTGAAGCCACTGATGCCGAACATGCCCAGGTTGGAGACACTGTTGAAGCAGAGAGGACAGCAACACAAGCTCTAGTATTTACAGAAAGCTTTCACCATGTACTAAATAGAAAAAGTGCTCCTCATTTTTCATCACTGATACATTCTCATGGACACAGCACTACCACAAAGAAAGAACAGCCAGCAAACAGAAGTGCTTGCTTAAGTTGTTATTGTTAAACTCTGTTCTGTTCAGTCTTTCATAATGTCAAGGAGGGTTTTTACAATAAATGGGTCATTTAAGGCTAAATCCTGACTAGATCCAGTCATACTGGCACTGCAATGTTGTAGCATTATGCTTTCACTTCTCAGCTGCCCACAGACAGTGCACACTGTTTGCTCCATGCTTGAGGACAGACGGCATCTAAAGGATGCTTCCTTGGCAGAAAAAACCCGTTATAGTGCTTAGCACACTGTCTTTTCTAATGTGGCTCAGTAGGACAATCAGAACAAAGCAGGTGATACAAACCCCGGAAATAAGACAATGAGCGATGGCTTACTATTGGGATTTCTGGACTATCTTTACCACAGAAAGCCCATTTATTTCTAAGCGACCCCATTAAGTCTGTAATGATAAAAAAAATGACTGCCTGTGCCTTGGGTGGAAGTGATTAAACTGATGACCATAATTTATGATTCTGTGCAATCTCTCTCTCTCTCTCTCTCTCTCTCTCTCTCTCTTACACACACACACACACACACACACACACACACACACACACACTCACGGCCATGAGAGGGATAAATAAAATGTGCAGCAGTTTATGCATGTCTTTAACATCTTCCTAAACTGTGCAGTCTTCCGTGTTCCTCCAGTTTAACCATGTATTTAATAGCTTATCACTAGGGGAGACAAATAGGAAATGAAGGAAGAAAAGTTCATGACACAGTTCAACAGGGTAATGAGTTACAGCTTCCAACTCGCAGGCATTCCTGACGAACCTCAAGTCATTCACTTGGGTTTTGAGGGTGACAAGGATTAAGATGGGAAGGGAAAAAAATGGAATTTAAAGCTGTTAATGGGGTGTTTACCTGAAGGATCCCCCCTGGTATTCTTCTGGTAGCAGTTTCCCTGCCCTTGCTTTCTGAGCCAATGCCTAGGAGGGGAAATAAGAGGAAGAGGAGAGGAACAAGAGAAGGCTGATGAGCAACACTACACACACTACACGCCTTATCCATCTAACCTAACAAACACCTAGCAGTGATCAGCACTGACTTAAAGGGGAATTAACATTTCTGCATGATTTGATCATTAAGACAAAAACAACGCAGAGTGGCTTGATGAGAAATGTGCTGCGCTAGAGAAACTTCACAGTGTTCACAGTGGTGGTAATAGGAACCAGACATCTGAAGCCTTTAATGTATCTGCATACTACATAGAAAGTTATTACGTTAAATAGTTATGCATACATTGCCTGATGCCTGGGACACTGATTGGCTTTAAACATATATTCTTAAATCCTTGTATGGTGGAGAGGTACAAGCAACTTATATATTTTTTTTTTAGATTTATCACTATTTAACCATTATTAACATTATGTATAAAAACTCAGATGACATATGTAGGTTCACTGGTCATTTGGAATAACAAATAACATGGCTATTTATTTTGTAGAAGTCATGACCCATGGTTCCTATCACCATTATTGTAAAGACTTTGAATTGGTAGTTTTTTTTTTTTTTTTAAAACAAATCAATTCACAGCAAACCACTCTAAATCACTTTGTTTATTCTCAACAACTGAATTATGCAGAATTTTCAGAAAAATGGTTGAATTCCCCTTAAATGCAGATCCAACATTTAGCCAGTCCAGCTAAACAGCGCTGTGGGATCTGCTCTCAACTCATAACATTCAGCAATTTGCTTTTCATCAGTGAAATCAGAAGGAGACTGCCTGTGAATGCAGGCAAATGAAAGGATCCTCTAACAACAGAAAATCTCTGCGACATTCTATTGTTTTACTATGTTATATTAGTAATACAACAATATTAGCATCTAATAGAAGTGTTTTACTCATAATGAAAACACCACACTTGATTGGAGTGCTTCTAAATAACTCAAGAGGTTATCTAATATGCTGATTGAGCTTCAATGTGGAGAATGACAATTTCATGTCCTCTTGTTACCATGGCAGCAAATTCGGGTATAAGATACCGACGACTTGCCAATCATTCTGATTCCACTGATTAGGGGAAGCAAGCTGTCTGTGCAGATCTGTGGTCCATATTAGCTTATTTAGGTCTGCCTAATGTGTTATTCCTTTGGTTTATCTCTTTCTGATCCATTAAAAAGTATTTTTTATATATATATAGATATATGTATATCGCTGTTGTTGGAAGAAAACCTCTAACTACCCGCTAACTTTACAGGAGAAGGAAAAAACACACTTTACTTTTACTGTAAGTCAATGGAACCAGACTTTTTTCAAAGTAATTTGGGGCCATTTCTTTTGGTCCATTCTTCGTGAAATTTACAAACCATGTAAAGGTCAACAGGCATTTTCAAAAATGCAGATAGAAGGTTTTCTTCCAACAGCAGCAACACACACACACACACACACTATATATATATATATACTTGCTGTTGTAACAAAATCTTGTATCTCCACTTTTGTCGTTTTTCAGTTTTTGATATAATTCAAAATTGCCTGTTGCCCTTTATATTGTGTCAAAATTTCATGATAAAATGGACCAAAAGAAATGGCCCCAAATTACTTTGAAAAAAGTCTGGTTCCATTGACTTACAGTACAAGTAAAGTGTGTTTTTTCCTTCTTCTGTAAAGTTAGCATTTTGGAGATACGAGGTTTTCTTCTGACAATCTTCACAGCTTTATATATATGTATATATATATATATATATATATATATATATATATACATATATAAAATCACATCTATCATACTGCATCGTCATGCAAACCAACAGACAAGAAACTTTGGCTAAAGTATTAAAGCTAATTGAATCACATTAGTCATCAGAGAACACAGCAGAGTTTTACGAATCATTTGACACAGCAGCCTGAAGGCGAGCACAGGTGTTTCAAACGTCAGCATGCAGTCAGATCTGACCTTTTGTTTTGCCTCATTAATGTTCAAAATGGTGTGGTTGCTATGGCAACAGTTACCTTGGCGTTGGCGGCAATCTCCTGCACACCTTTGTTTGCCGCGTCTTTGATGATGGGGGTGATGAGGCCACGGTCGGTCGCCACGGCGATGGAGATGTGGATGGAGTCGAGGGCCTGAGGTCCATCCCCTGACCAGGTCACGTTGACCTCTGGCATCTCCTGTAGAAGTGGTCAAAAGTAAGGGGGCACACAGAGTGAGTAAATTCATTACATACACTATGGAAGAAGGAGAGCAGTAGATTTCTACCACCAAGAGAGATCAGCATCGCATATGCACAGGATTACTGAGGAGACTGTTAACCAATGCTGTATGTGAGCCCCTGGCAATAGTTCAGTGCTAAGAACAACTTTAAACAATTTTTGCTTCACCCCATATACAGTCGAACAGTCAAGACATGCTTGGTGTCCGGAATTACCTTTTTTGCACTGGAACAATGAGGCTAATGTAGCTAACAAGTAATGAAAGTTTACATACCTATAGTTTCAGTGCACAATTTCTATTTATTTGCTGACTTTCACATATTTGAGAAAAAAACATATTAAATGAAATGTGCCAATCTGTGGTACCTTTGACTGTTTTAGTTTCTTCCCAATATGTTAAATTCAGCAATACATTCAGCAAGTAAACAGTAACTGTGCATTAAAATGTGCAGAAGTGTGTTCTCTGTAGAGGATATGTAGCTCATTTTCACTTAGAAAATAATAAAGCAGAATAATAAAGCAGTTTGACTAAGGGTGCCCAAACCTCTGCATATGACTGTGAGCTTAGCTTGTATTCCATTATATTAGCTTCGTAGCTCCACTGCAAAACTAAAGAAGCAAACTGTGGTTACATGTCTTGGTTGACTGAGTATAATTGTGGTGAGGTGTAAACTGGATTTTTTGCAGAGCCACTGCTTCACAGCTCAGAACAAGCATATGCACTGCAGACATGACTGGTGCCTGGTGTCTGAACCTAACTGATCCGAGCCTAAAGGATGCAGACTTTCAGCCTCTTCCTCTTTCACTAACCCCAAGCAGAGAACAGAGCCACTGGCTGCAAGATGTCTGTGATTTTAGAGGAAGCAGCTGACAAGCTAAGAGGCTATTGTATGAAGGAAAATATGGCTCCTGTGAATGGCATCTCCCAGCTAAGCGCTTTGTGTTGTGACACACATCAACGAGTACGCTGGCAGAGGCAGGATGGGAGGGAGCTGCAGACAATAATGTGACAATCAGACATTACTAGTACTTTTTCTCTCTCCTTTCCCTCTTTCTTTCAAAGGCCTGTCTTTACAGAGACATACATCCTGCTAATTTCCCCTTTACTCTCAGTAACAGACGGAGAAAAAAGGGGAAGGGGACTTACTTGAAACAGTTTCTATTTAAAGACTTGTCATCAGCACAGTCTATGTGATAAAGCAGGGACCTGATGAATCTACAGGGAGAGCATTAGGGCAAGACAAAGGGGAACAGAGGGAAAGCCTGAAGCTATGTGACAAAGTCAAAATGATGGTGACAGAATATTACTACATAAGAAGATGGCAGATGTGATTTTTATGTGTATATTGCTGGTGACTGCTCTTTAAAGCTGCAACCCATCCTAGAGAGGTGACAGCCTTCACTACGCATTTAACAACCTGTAGATAACGCCGAATCAATTTATTAATGTGAAGTTCAGTTTGCTAATTTTGTTATATTATATTTTAATATAATACAACAGATGCAATACAACATAATACAACAGCCATTTTGCATTACAACTGTGATTAAACAGTGAAAAGACTTAAATGTCTAAGCTTTGAAAATAAAAAGGAGGCTAATGACTTACTTTGAGTGTGACAGCAGCAGCTTTGATAATGAAGTCATTGACCGACACCTTGATCTCCTCTGAAAAGACAAAGAGAGAGAAATATGAGGAGGAAACTTGTGGTGCACTGATCCAATATAATGAGATACTGACCAATCCACATTCAATGCGTTTGTATTGGTCACAGCCATTATAAAACTGTAACTGCACATTATCCAGTAGCCTACTTAATCACAGACTTCATTCATTTCTTACGTAACTATTTTTTTTTGTAAAGAAGTGATGTGTAGTTACAGCCTTGTGTTAACACCTAAAAGAATCTCAAGCAGTTCCACACAGTGAGGTATAAAGAAGCCTGTTAAGAAGGTAAGAATTTGATTCGCAGCTATGCCATAGCATGGCCAGGATTCCAAAAGCACAGAACTGGCCATCCTCTGCATGGTAAGTCATGTGACAGATCTAGAAGCAGGAACTCGGAACAACTAACCAATCCTCCAGAGACAATTAGGTAAAACTGGTTTAAAAAAACAAAACAAAACAAAAAAAACAAACAAACAAAAACAAAAACAAACACTAATCAGATCAGAAGTCATGATCCTGTAAAAGCCCCTCTGTCAACTCTGATTAGCTCTGATTATGACTTTTCTGAAACATGTTGGTTATATTTTGCTTTCTTTATTCTGCTTTGTGTTTCTACCACAAAATGGACCAAAACAGGAAGCACCTTAGACTGAATTCACCGAAAGGTTATCTTATGTACATTTGTGCAAAGGAACAGAGTGTAATCATCATTCACCTTCTTGCTGAAATATTTTTAACTGTGCTTATTCTTTTCAGACACACCCTCCATACCAGATCTGTGGTTTAGACAGCCCTGATTATTTTAAGCACTTTGTAAACATTTTTTAACCACTCTGTAAATGATTAAACAGATCAACAGTGGCACTGTGTAAGGCTAGTGTTAACTGCATCATAAGTTCAGTCAGAGTCATTAGAATCAGACTGGTGGGCGTCTCTTAGCCTCAGTGTATTCAATATGTAAGTCAGGTGTAGGCTCCAAACGTGTAACGTTAGAGACTGGATTTACAAATATATTCAGTCTGAATATACGGAGATACAAAACATTCAGTTGGGAACTGCATTTATATATATATATATATATATATATATATAGAGAGAGAGAGAGAGAGAGAGAGAGAGAGACAGAGAGAGAGAGAGAGAGAGATGAGAAAAATTAAGCTCCACTCTTTCTTCAGATCTAAAAGATCCACAGGTGTTTCTGTCCATCCTCTGTGAGAAGACAACTCAAGACTATGAGTCTGAAAGGATGTGTAGCTGTCAGGAAGCCATTACTGAGAAAAAGAAATTTGCACTAGGACACAAAGTGTGTAACTGAGATTTCTTGGATTGTAAGAAGCAAAAAAATGCACTCAACTACTAAGACTGAACTTTGGAGGTGTTTACAAGAAGGACAGAAAAACATCCCTGCAGATTTATGGAAAAGCTCAAAGTAAGTCTCCTGCAAAATAAGCTGAAGTATAATTTTTCAGCTTTTTTCCCTGATACTGAAAAATGAACAACTTTTACTTAATGGCAATTTTTACTGGAAATTAAAGACATGAAAGTGTGGTCTCAGACTTTTGCATTGTATGTATTTTAAAACATTATATGTGTTTATGATATAAAAGTAATGGCAAATAATTAGCTTTTTCCTCACTGAGCATGTTCTGTGTTTCCACTTGTACGCTCTTACCTTGAGCTAGCTCCTTACGAAGCTGCAAGACTGCCCCAAGGTCACAGTCCACTGAGGCGTACGCGTGAGGGATGGTGGTTTTGGACTGGGTCAGCCTCTGTGCAATGACTCTCCGCACGTTGGAGGCTGGGACCTCTGTGAAGGTGCCCTGGAAATCAGAGGTTTCTGTCACTACAGCCCACTAAAAGCATATTCAGTTTCAGGGAGACCCTCAATACATTGATGTTGTACAGTGAATAATTGACTGCCTGGTTGACTTAAGTGAGACTGGAATATCTTGGTGATGTCATTACAAAGGTGGATGCCTTTCAGTCTCCAACGCTTTAAAAAGCATTGATCACAGCACTGTAGATCAGGGCCATTTGCTGCATTATTGACAAAGTAAAAGAGTGAGATCACATGAGAGAAAAGCATACAATTAAGCCCACTGATGGTAGTACAAAAGCAATCTCAAAAGACCTTTTGATCCTCAACAGATTGCAATACTTCCTCCCTCCCTTTCACCATCCAGCATGTTAAGGCATTTCAACTTGTCCAAAGCAAGGATCTAACAGCATGATTTCTGTCAACTGAAACAAAAAAAAAAAGTACAACATCTTTAGAAGCCTCCCCTCCCTACAGGCTGTTTCTGGGGTGGGGCATTCTTTAGAAAGAGGTCAAATGGTTGAAACTTGCTGAGTGCGAACGCTAAAAAGCAAATCTGTCTTTCTTCAGGATTTTAGACATTAATGTTTTACCAACATCTGACTCCACAATACCACTGCATGAAATGATTAAACTGCAATGGAAAGAAAAAAGCAGCTTCCTCAACGTGAGGAAACAAGTGACTGATCAGAAACCAGAAAAAAACTGCACAGCTCAGTTTGCTGAGTATTTTTTTCTTACTTTCCTCACTTGTTGTGCTTTAAGCTTGCTTTATTGAAGAGAACACACTCTCCTGATGTACCTTTTAGAGGGCTTGGGGTGAGCTTTGTTGCTGCAACTGCCCAGAGGGAAACCACAAACCAGACCGGGTTATAGTGGCAGCATATGGCACAGAATGAAGAGAGAGAGAGAAAGAGAAAGGAAGAAGGTGGAGAGGGTTCTGGCATTTGCTCCTGGTAAAGAGTGAATCAGAACCTACAGGGTGAGCTTGTCTGGTTCAATTTCTTCATGCACCAGTGAGGGCTATGAGAGAAACCATGCTGCCCCACAGTGAAACAGCAGTTCCCACGCCAGAGATTACTACACATACTTTCTATGACAGCACTGACACTGTCAAAGCATTCAGCTACAACAAGGAAATCTGAAAGTTTTTTTTTTAAGAGAGACTCATCAGGGACTTTTTAGGGGAACATTCACCAATATTTGGTCTAACCATCACCTTAGCAACAGCAGTGTTGAACAAAAATGTGGGTGTGGGGATACTCACTGGAGCTCCAGGTTTGCCGGGCACTGATATGGGTGGGTAGAGAGGCCGGCCTGAGGCTGGAGCGGCTGAGGGAGCGGGGGCGGCAGGGGTTGGAGCTGGAGCTGGAGCTGCAGGAGCAGGGGAAGCAGGAGGAGGAGCAGACACTGGAGCCACGCGATGGGCTGCGTCTCCCTTCTTCAGCAGGTTCAGAGCATCCCTGCAGACAAGAAGGGAGAGACATGAGAAGGGCAGAAAGAGATTACGGACTCAAGTGACAGGGTTGCTAAATTTGACACGACAATGAGATCTGTTACCACTTACTACACCTATGCGCACTCCTCCCTTAAGCAAATAGTAAATAAAAGGAAACTATGCTGTACGTTTCTGATAGTACGAATCTTCAACAGTAGGCACTTAGCAGCGCTAAAATCACTGAAAATCAGAACAGTTTACAGCAAAACTATATAAGGGTTATACAAGGTTTGTTGGCAACTAAACTTCTAACCTCAGTAAGATTTTAAGATCTTGATGCTTTTGATTTTAAAGACAACATTTCAAGAGCATTCCTGATATATATACACCAACATGTAGTTCCACAGTACATTTGAAACACACATACACACACAAGCACACACATTTCCTAAGCCGCTTATTCTTCTGGGTCGTGGGTCCCTGGACGGGAATCGGACCCAGGCCCTTCTTGGTGTGAGGCAACAGCGCTACCCACTGCTACCCATGCCGCCCTCATATGAAACAGTAAAGCAGTATGTTTGCATGTACTGCATGCCTGTTTTTTGAGTCACAGGTGGCCACTGCAGAGGAATAGACTGATAAGACAAAATGGCCAAAAGAAGAAGGAAAAAAAAAAACGTGCCAAAAAATACTTTAATACAAAATCTTAATACGCATTAGACTGGTGATGGGAATTGACAGAGTCGATTCCACAGAATAATCTCGACTCAGGACCCCAAGACAAAGAGAAGGGAATCTGACAAAAATTGAAAGTACAATATTTCATTATATTTGACCACAACACGGACATTTGGAGAGCTATTTTAAATGAACTTGGCTGGCTAATTTGTGCATGATTCTCCTTTGTCAACTCCTTTAGATGGGTAAATGTTTTGGCACTGGCAACGTTAATTGATTCTAAGTCACTTTTTCAGTACATTTTCTTCGTTTACCACTTTGTCTAAAGTGATTGCAGTTGGACTATCGATGTGAGAGTTGTAGAACAATGTATTTTTAGACAGGCCATCTAGGACTAGACAATGACAGCAGAATATCAGCCACTCATTGTGTACCATTATGTTTATTGCTAAGTAACTGCCATTTTTTCTGGTTTTATCATAAAATGTTTTCCTTGAAACAGTGATAAATAAGCATTTGACTCTGAAAATCACGAGGAATCCATAAACGTTCTGTTGTGGTCTGAAGGGTTTACAAAACACAAAGCTTCCAAACACTAAATAAGGAAATGAATACCAACATAACCAATAAATTCTTGAGCATTCAAATTATTTGGGCCAGCTCTATACGCAGCAGGATCTTCTCCATAAACTGATCACTTTGCAATGTAAATACATAGAGGGTTACGTGGGAACAGTTGCAAGGCAGGAAGAGAAATAACAAGTTACACAGAGAACGACACATCTTTTTGTTTCATTTCTGAGACTGAAACAGGAGAGTTTCAGAGGAAAAGACTGTGAGAGGCTTTTTTCTACCTCCACCCACTCTCCCACTAGCATGTGTGCACTCTCCCCTGCACACATGCTAGTGGAAACACCCAAGTTTCTACTAGCATGTGTGCACTCTCCCCTGCACACATGCTAGTGGAAACACCCAAGTTTCTCACTAATAACCAGTAAATCACAAGGCATCAAACATGGTAACTGGGGGAAACTCCTCAGATAAAGTCCACCGTGTTAAAACAGTGGTTGTAACTGCACTACCATGCAAGGGTCTCTAATTATTTAAATAATACCAACGACACAAACAGGAATTCATACACGCCCTCTGGTTCCCTGCTGGTCAGTATCACACATATAATGAAAACATGAGTTGCTGTACAGAAGCTCATAAAAGAGTATGTTCCAAGAGGAAGGAAAACATAACTCCCTTAAAAAGGCTTTGAGCTGTTTGTGTTATTCCAAGCCTAAGGGAAGCACGTGCGCTTTTTTTACCCTGAGGTAAACATGTGTCTCTCTCTGCAGGGCCAGTGAAGCTGCTGGTAAAGAAGAAAAAACTAGCAAGAGACCATTTTTCAACCGTTTCCTCCACACACCCCCACCCCCACCCCTGCATGTACTTGTGCTAGAACAAACATCCCGGAGCACTGGCCCCAAAATGTGCAGAATGTAAATACTACCACCCTCTCAGAAACACCCCTTTTAACCTCTTACACAAATTAAACTACCGTTCAGTAACATAAACATTTACACCAAGTGGCCAACGGCTGCTTTCTGATTCTTATGGTCTGTTGTGTTTTAAAACGCTCTGCTGTAAACACTGGACAAAGGAAATAAGAGAGCTTTCATGACAGTCAGTGGTAATAAATTGAAGAGTTTTAGTCTGGCTGTCTTTTTTCGGACGAAAGCCCAGACTAGACTGACCTAACATGTCCTGTAGTGATCTCATTGTTAACTTTAAACGCGTCAAAAACATTGCAGCATGTTGTTCAGCTGGCTTGGGGTTACTTTCGGGTAAAAGACCTATCTTTTCAGTAGCAGGATGCCAGGATTATAGAACACAGACATACCGCTCCACACCTGCTCAGTGAGGAAACTGTCAGTAACTCTCAGTTCCAAACCAGACAGCCTCAGAACACATACAGACACACACCATCACATGAAAGAAATGTACTCAGGAAACAATGAATGAGTAACATGAAAACATGATAATCGGACACTGGCATACTGGTTTCACTGATCCAAAACGAGAAATGTTATTACATATTAAGCAGAGGATGGATAAACAAACAAGGCTCTTTATTAGCAATTGGCACGTTTCAGCGGTTCTCACTCATGTGTGATTAAAAGAAAGTGACAAAACACCTGATTAACATCTCCTAAACACAGCTGATTGACATTTATAGATATCAAAGAGCTCATACCTTCAGGCATGCCTCTCTCCTTTCATTACAAAGCACAAACAAAGGAATGTCTTAATGTCTTATCACATCACATCTGTGCCACTTAAACCAGTACGTAGAATACCAGCTATTAAGTCAGAAATGTATGTCTTGGCAACTAACTTTCACATGATTAGCTGTTAAGTCTATTGTTCATATATTCATATATTACAATCCATAATTTACTATGCAAGTCAAAGACGACGACCAAAAAGACCGAAAGGATGAAAGTGTACAAAAGTAGGGTGCCCAAAATAGAGTGAGTACACAGATTACATAATGACATAGTTGAAATTATACTTAATGTTGGAGGCTTTTGTGTAATTGTCTGTTAAATATACAGTTGTATGCAAAAGTTTGAATACCCCAGCTCAAATGACGTTTTGTTGATGTTCTAAATGAAAATAAGCTACGATAATAAGTATAATATAGCATCCTATTCAGAGAACACACTTAAATATGGCATTTTCCTGCAATCTTTCTACAAATTTTTGTGCACAATTTCTATTTACTTGCCGAATTTAACATATAGGGAAAAAAATTAAATATAAAATCTAAAAAGGACCGTAAGTGTCACCCAGGCCGCATTTCATGATTTATTTGATTTTATTTTTTACAGTATGATAAAGTTCAGCAAATAAACAGTAATTGTTCATTAAAATGTGCAAAGTCTATTTCTTTTTAGTTCAACAAAAACAAAAATTTAACCAGGGAGGCCTAAACTGTTCCACATAACCGTCTGTTTCTTGCTTTTTTTCCCTCAGACACAGAAAAATAAAGAATTATAGTCAATGGCTATTAGGACTGGAAATAACATAAATGAAAGGGTCTCTGACTTATGCAGAGCAATGTACAACGAAATTCATATACTTCTAAACAACACCTATTAAAACAATTGAAAGAAAAGAGAGGGTGCAGAAAGAGAGGTCTGCCAACCCTTACAATTCTAATCTAAAACTGCCTGCTTCCAACTCAGACCCCCTCTTTTGCTATCCCAAAAAAAATCAAAAGTTAATTAAACTGGCCTTTTTTTGCCTAAGGGAGGTCAAGACAACATTTCTTTTAAAAACATTAAAATATCACGTCAAAATAACGCACACTAGCCTGGGCTTTTTAGCACTGTACAGAACAATGAATCGCGCCTCTGTGCTCACAAAAAGTACAGGTTATTATGGGATTTAGTGAAACTGAAATGCATTATGGCAGTAATGTTTTGCAATAACCTGCCCTTCACATCCTCAAAGGCATGTAAGTCACTTCAAAAACGGGAGAGTAAGAGGAGGGGGCAGTGGGGTGGTTTATGGTTCAGTGAGAAGACTGTGAGCGTTGGTCAAGTATCGGGTACGCTGCTACCTGTCAACTCTCTGGTTACAGCCCAGTGCCGTGAGACCTCTACACGCTCTCTCTCTCCATACATCAAGCCTTTTAGTGTCAGCCACCTGCCCCTAGACTCTCCATTTACCCACATTCACCCACACCCCTCCACTCCCTTTTCTTCCTCTTGTTTGTTGGTATTATTGTCAGTCACTGTTAGAGATGGTGGAATTCCCCGACCCACAGGGAGCAATCAGAGAACACACACTAAGTACACACATAAGCATGAATGTATGCAAAAGCACACACACACACACACGTGCTGAATGTAGGACTGTCACAATCATATTTTAGCTGCCGATTAATTGTCACATAAATAATTGTGATTAACAATGTATTTGTCTTTATGTTCATTGGTTTCAACTATTAAAACACAAGCCTAACGTGGCCAAATTGGCTGATTAGTCAGTTTACTTGCCAGTTATGTTTGCTTGGTAGCTAACACTGGCTGTACTGTCAAATCAGTACTGTGCGCTCACAAATGTCTACAGTCACAACCCGTCCACCAGCATACTTGCTAAACACATTAAAATGAGCTATATAGCTAATAATAAACACATTTCTCAGAGCTGCCCTTTAAACATAAACATTTAAACAAAGAATGCATTTGCTTTCATTTATTTACATTTATTTGCCTCAATCTGACTCAAACCATTCACATTGTGTTTGTTGTAGCATAACATGACTGAAATCTAATGGCTGTGGAAAATGACTGCAGTCATCTTAAATAATTGTAATAATCTCAAATGATTTTGATTATTTCAAATTATTGTGATTAGGCAGTTATCTAATAATTGTGATAGACCTAGCTGAACATCCTTTTTGGGGATCCATGAAAAGTAAAATAACAAAAAAGTGGCAGGAATTTGTGCTTCAAAGAAAAACTGTAAATAAGACTCAATGGAATTGGAAAATCCATCATTACAACATGTGGGAACTGGTGGGGGGTTCATAAAACAAAAATATTCTGAACTATTTCTTATTAATAATAGGAAAAAAAGTAAAGCAAAGAAAAAAAACAAAACAAAAAAGAAAGAAACAAACAAACAAACAAAACAATCCAACACTTAGCAACAACTTGCTGCATTTCTCCCTCACAAAGATGTGGTAACTGTGGAAATTCAGTTCAATCCAGCCTTGTACACTCCTGCTGACACAAATACACACACAAGTGAAGCACAGACCTGACTGGAATATTAAAACCCACAGCCAGTCAGCCGTAACTCTCCTACTGTACTGTTCAGACTACTAGAAACACACACTCACCTATCTGCCCAGCTACATCGCAGGCAGAGGGCTCTCACTGTGACCAGGAATCAACAAGCATAGCTGATTAAGTTTTGATCCATGTCAACACTGAGCTTCCACTGCCAGCTCTTTATTTGCATGATCAGAGAGCAGCACTGAGCTAGATGTGGGTAAAAAAAGCCTGGTCTTTGTCTCTCAGGAATCACAATGTCCTTAAAGGAAATGATTTGGGGGAAAAACCAAATTTGCACAATGTTCCACCTACCCCCAAAATGTGGTCAATCAGCCAAAACATGACACCATTGAAAACCACATCCAGGTCTTTATTAGGACGCAGTATGACTCATTGTGAACTTTAAAAATGACCCAAAACTTCAGTATGCAGCTAAACACAGTGGGCAGCCATGTTAGGCAACAGGAGACTCATAGAATCTGGCTTGAGTGCACACATCGCCCAGACAAATGGACTCCAGATTGTGTGATTTTTGTTGTTTGTATTTAAGAACATGCCTTCATTTTGAAAATTCAAGATTAATTGTTACTTATAAACAGAAAAACAAACAAATCTCAACTGCAATCATGACATGCACATGAAGAGGAGTTGGAATTTGGCACAACGCCTGCAGTCTAAAGTGGCTGCCCACAACATTCAGCTACACAGTGAGGTTTTGCTCATTTTTATAACTCGCACATTGTCAAAAACCACGTTGACAAGTCTGTGCAACCTTAATGAAGAAAGAACTCTGTATGCGGTTTGAGACATGTTTTGCAGACTTACATAAATATTTGGGTGACTACTGACTTCTAGTGGTTATTAGCATTGTTAGCCTCTTAGCTCCAACACTAATTAAAATGAAGCAAAATTTGGACACCAAGCCATGTCTTGGATGACTGGCTATATCTGGGGTAAGCCGAAAAGTGCATAAACTTGATTTCTCACAGAACCATTCTTTTGAAACTAAGAATGCCTATTTCAGTTAAATTCACCGTGTGGGGTGACAGCACTACTTGAAACATAACTACTGGCTATTTTGCTTTATGTCTGCAAGCGTACAAATGGCATTAATTGATAAGAAGTGTTTAGACAAAGGCCGTATTACACATCACACCAATAAATTAGACTTATTGACTGCACATGCTAAAGGTAACCGCAGCAAGTCATGCATAAAGAGTACGTGTAGTTCCTGTGCACCACACCTAAAACACAACCCCTCAATGAGCCCACACAAAAATGTGTTCTAACATGATCCACTATCACACATTAACTATCTGACCCGAAACCGTACGAGAAGGTGCTGGTTCCATGGCTCACTTGTCTTAATCAGATTGGGCCACAAAGAGCAGACTGGCCATGGCACATATCCACACATATCCTCAACATCTAAAAAGCTTCCGATTGTCTGAGTGGCATATCCTCTGGCTTTTGTCCATATTTTATGAAATGGCCTCCACAATGGCCATACTGCATAGATAGCTCACACTGAAACATGTCATGGGTGCCCTTTGAGCACTACACTGTTTATTCTTGCCTTAGAACCATTGGTAAAACCCTGCTGTTACTGCAGGAGTTATCTATATGCCATATAGCAAGGTCTGGAGCAACTCCTTTTCTCTCTAAAAACCCAGTGCAACAATATCCTCTTCAGCTTAAAGGGGCTACTGGTTATGGTTCCAAGTAAAATAATTTGTAGATCACTATTCACTACATGCAACAGTGGAACTTTTGGCATGATTTTACAACATACACCTGTCCATGCACCATTTACTCATGATCTGATAATGAGCAGAGCTTCTAATTTTTACTATAGCTATTAAAAATCATCTGATCTAGATTTCAAGAGGCAGAGCACTATGAAAAAGTCAGTTATTAATTGATTTTGTATTTCTGAGGAGATTAGATATAAAATAATCCACCTGAATAATAGGAAATGTTAAAGGAAAGTAACTGAAAAATTGAAGTTGCAGTCTGCAGTGCTATATATGAGAAACAGGAGATAATCAGGCTTTATTCTAGTTTCAAATATAAAAAATATCTAGTTGTGTAGCTGTCAAGAAGCTGTTGGAAACTGCTAAAAGCTGTTAGAAAAAAATAGACAAAAAAGAAGAAAGAGAGAAGCTGCTGGTGTTCTCAGAACAATGGACTAACCACCCCAGAGTCCACCTCGCTGAATGTGTCTGGATTGTGCAGAAAATACAAGTGTTTCTAAGACTAAACTTTGGAGGTGTGGAAAAACTGAAAGTAAGTCTTTAGGCAATCATGTGTATCTGCCTGTTTTTTTTTTTATTATTGGGAACGGATACAGGAACATAGGTGCTGCTGTTATATGAGACTAGACGAGTCTGTGAAGTCTCAGAAATGTTATAAGAGGCCCTTCTGTCTTGGCCATTTTGAAGTACATTGTGTTCTTTAATGATGGAAGCAACCTTGTGTCTCTTTGGAGGAGAACAGTTTCCTTTAACATTTCCTTATAACTTCATAAAAACATTAGTACAATTGAACAGATGTTGTCACTGTAATTTACTTAAGAGTTGGAATAGCAGACCACAAAGCCACTGAACTGATATGCATGTGTAATACAGCAGTTTCAGTGTCTTCTGTCAATAAAACTCTAATAAACACTGACCAGGACCACTAAATGCTATTCTGTGTATGTAGAGCACATGAACCTAACTAAATTTGTAAATACAAAAAAAAGTTAAACAAACAGCACTTTGTGCTTTGTGCCTTCATACAAAACATTGTAGTGCCCTGTCGGCCAAAAACTCGCATTAAATATATTATTGGTCATGTTACGTAATATTCTGTAGTTCAACATTGCATCCCTCAGCTTCATTGTTTTGAACTCACAACCGCCCTCAAGTATCCGCACCAAAGTAGTTGTTCCACCCCACCTTAAAGAGACATCATCAGATGGGGTTTTTCTCGTGTTTAAATCAGAAAATCTCACTGTCAAGACCACTGGGGAACTGCTGTAGGAAGTGAGTAAGTATGCTTACGACAGATGTATCGACGGTTACATTTTTCATTTTGGTCAGAGTGTCCCTCTAATCGTCAAGTAAAGAATTTATACTAATTCTACACTAATAAAATATATACGACGCAGAATATGAGGATAAAAGAGGCATGCCATGTCTTTCAAGCACCTTCGTATATGCCTCACTCACCACTCTCTCTAATTCATTAACTCTTGCAGGGGATTACGTAATGAGGGGTGATCTCATCCTAATGTAATGTGTTTTGTTTTTATACCCACTTTGCAGACCCACAGCAACAGCTTGGCAGCGGGGTGGGTGGCTGCCTCGAGCTGAATCTTATCAGATAAACCAGTACAATAGAGAGGAAGGCCTTGCCTCAAAGAATGGAGGGTGTTATTAAAAGGGAAGGTTAAAATACAGTGTTTGACAGACATACAAACATACACATGGACAATTTCCCTTATCAGAAGCTGAGCAACATGGTGAGTGGAATGATGGTGCTCCCATCTCAAGCACAGCTGTGGTTTCTGCCTGTGTATGTATACACTGGGCAGAGAGAAGAGGCATTCAGTTAAAACTCTATTGATTACACTCTGGGTTTTAGCATGAACATCTGAGGGAACACATGCTGGAGTTCATACTGAGAAATGTGGGGGAATTTTGGTTTGCTCCACTGGGCTACTGGCTCCTTCCTCAGTGTGGGGTTTCTATATTTCTGTTCTGCTTTCTATATGGTTTACTTCCTAAAGCTTCAAATGACCTTAAAGTTACAATAATGTCTGTGAAGTTGCCTGACCTCTTTCGCTGCTCACCGCACACATACACACACCATGGTCTCTGTTTCCATGGAGGAGAAGCAGGGAGACAGGGTTGTCATGGTAATGCATGTTGCTAATGAGACTGGCCAGTGGGATGCTGGGTAGTGCAGCAGGCCCCCAGTGGCAGGCAGAGTGCATTAGAAACATGCTCACAGCTCCCACTCCATTATACCAAGCATTAGTAAAATACATCTCTTTCCATCTCTTCTTTGCAACAGCGTTAATATTGTGCCTGTTCACTCTCTCTGTCTGTGAGCAAGCGCATGTTATTTTACACTCACTCTTTAGTGATGAGGCCTCGTGGGCCAGTGGCTGTGGCTAGGTGAGGGTCCAAACCATGTGTGTCCAGAATGTGTCTGGCAGCAGGACTTAACCGCAACCTGGGAACAAACACACAAACATAAAGATTAATAAACAGAAAATGACTGCTGCAGACGATAAAAGAGAAACACGCACTTACGTCAGTGACTCTAGGGTAAAATAAGGCATGCATGAATGGAAGCACAAGGCTACAAAATTTAGTCAGTGTTGTTGCAAAAAAATGATTTTTATTAGACACTATTCATTTTAGAAATGCCCTTTTAGCCAAAGTACTGCTTTAACCGAACAATGTGGCTTAAAGTCCCACAAAACACAATGTAAAATATTAAAAATGTTTATATTTGTAAGTGCGTTATTTTAAAATATCCAGCATGGAATAAAAACAAGCCAGAAATGTAATAAAACACATCTTAAAAACGGTTATCAGACCTATCTGAGAACTATCTGGACATGGTCCGAATAGTTTAATAAGCATACTTGACTGATAGCCCTCAGTCCAACATTCACAGTTTGCTACACCACTGGAGCAGAACTAGACACAACAGCTTTAATGGGAAGAAATGACAGTTCTACACACACAGGTGGTGGTGCATCCGATGTGACTCTCAAAAACATTATATAGCTTTGTATGGAGACATCTTTATTGCTGGATGACCGAGCAGGGAATGCTAGTGTAGCTGACTGAATGGATGGATAGATGGATGAGCTGATGGCCGAACAACAAGCAGACAGATGAGCTAGCTTGACAGAGAGAGAGAGAGAGAGAGAGAGAGAGAGAGAGAGAGAGAGAGAGAGAGACACAGACAGACTGTAGTGTAGTTCATTATAACATGCCACGCCAGTCTTGTGATTTGTGAGAGTACTGCTTATGTAAGCACTACTCAAGATTAGGACTTCCTAGTTTACACTGAAAGAGGAGCATTTTCAGGTCACTTAATCTGCAGCTGAAAGTTATTCACAGGACATACAGTGTACAATGGACATTGTGTGCTCATGGATTTAGGTTCCCTGGAACTTTAAACGTTATATGAAGCGATTCACAAAACAGCTACTGTGTAAGTGTTATTTACAAGTCTAGATAAAGGGGTGGAGTTACTATTAATAAATATAAATCAGCATGCATGGTCAGGTGTGCTGCAGCAACAGCAAATCAAATCAAGTCCTCTTATTACTTTTAAGAGCAGAGTGTGTACCAGTAGTTCAGTTCAAAGATTTTTTTTCCAAATGGCAGATACTGTCGAATAGAAAGAAAATAGATGTATTCTATTACGTCTATGGATAGTGAAGAAACTGATTATCTTAGATTTCACATCAGTATTTTAGTGGTAAATGTAAAACTGACATAACTTGCAAATGTTTTCTGTCTTGTGGTGGGCCTCTAGGTCATTCCGCTTGTATGTGTGAACTTCTGAAGTGTTTGTATTGCCTAACCCCTGCTTTATAACATTAAAAATAATATAAAACTAATTGAAGCATACAGTGTGGGCCTGTTGAAGCAGTAACACAAGCGCAATTTTGGACCACAGTTGTTTGAAAACATCACTAAGCTAGTGGATTTTGAATGATGTACCCCCTGTTGCTCCACTCCATACATGTTCTTTCAGGCACTATCATTCTCAGCATATCTGACCAACAAAATAGCAACTGGGTACAAACAGGAAAAGAATGTACTTGTGCCCTAAAAATTAGCTACACACCAGCATTATACCACTAAACGTGCAAGAAAATAGAGCACTTAATGCTAAATTAATGTCATCATTCTTTCATTCCAAGTTGTTAGATACCTCTAGAAACTGCTTCAAAAATTCAGTCATGTTGGCTTCTTTACATTTCAAAGTTTGATGTTGGTTTTCAAGTGATCATCTCTAGCAGATTATTTGATCAACAACGCAAAAATGTCTATGAATTTGGGTAGTGTGTACATACAAGGAGAAAAAGACATTTCAACAAAATTATGAAGCACATTAAAATAATAAACATGCCATATGTTTTGGTTACCTAAAAATACATAGTAGAGCAAACAAACTCCTGTGAATCACCTTAGAAATGGTAAGCGGTGTTGCTGTGCCAGCATTGCACTCAACAAAAAAGTGGACATGGTCACAGCTAGAATGAGTGTGTTTTTGTAGGCATTCCATTAACAGTTGTAATGACAGTCATAATTAGATGTCATGTAAAATAATAAATGGAAACAATGGAACAAAGCAAGGCAGTCCAAACTGGAAAGTGGTAAGGCAACAACAGCAAAATTCAGTCTGTGAGTTCTTTTAGCTATTTAAAATGATTGTGTGCTGTACACGTATTCATACACTCAGGTCACGGCTCACACCATGAAAGACTGTGTTGTTAACAAGACTTGTGAAATAAACAGCACTCTGCACTAGAGGTGGACAATATGATAAAAGTATTAGAGTAAAAGTAATAGAGCCTAAAATATTATAACTACAACAATTTTATTAAATGTTTTACAAACAGTACTAAATCCAGTTCAACAGACCTAACTATGTTCACTTTGTAATGAAACATAGCTCAGCAATGTTCTTAACAATATCAAATAATATCCACAATATGCTCAGAAAAGTGTGTGACGACACAATTTATCATGATAACGATAAAATATCATCATATTGCCCAACCCTACTCTGCACTTAACAATTAACAATTAACAGACTTAAAACCTAGTAAAGAGAGTCATTGAAATTTGGTTATAATATTAACACAAATAATGACACAATGCAAAATTTATATTAATGAGTGTAACAAATAACTAATGACTGCACACACTGCCCAGTGGGAGTTGAGCAGGGTATGCACATTTTGCCACATGGCGCTTACAGTAAATATGTCTTTTAGCTTAGCAGAACACTTACACAAGACATGACTCACTCGTAAATTAACACAAGCCTAAAGACATAAGACTTTTGTCCAGCTGGTGTTATGTCCCTTTTTATAACTTGCACTGGAATCTAAGAGAGCAGTGCAAAAAGCACAAAATATCTTCTACAGAAGGCAATTTGAATAAAAGGCCTATTTCATTTTCAAAAGAAGTGATTTCATAGCTCTTGCTCCTGACTTCTCTGAATGCCATACCTGCCATTTTAAGCAAGAGGCTCTTGACACTTCTTTCTCCAATACAATTCAGTCCTTGAATAGTATTGTATATCCACGTATATTTTACACTATTGAGAACCATTATCCAAACTGGGACAAACAGCTTTTTCCTCAGTGGAAGCTGCGATGATTAATACTTCATGATGGACTCTTTGAATGGAAATTATGGCCTGGAAGTCCAACGAGGAGACATCAACAGGTGCACTGCTGTTTTACTCGACCAGATAAAATCTGTACAGTCTGGAACTGACAAAGATGTAAAAGGTCTATTTGCATGGGCAACTGAAAAGGTCAGGAGCCAGCCATACTTGGGATTGGCTCAATGTCTCTGTCCAGTCCAGTGCCTGACTAGCAGCATCAAGGAGCTCCATAAAAGTTGGCTCAATATTACCAAATTGGAGCAATGAGTTCAGTGCGGCTAGCAAGTGTAGAAAGGTATTCTGCAGCAGTGCTGCGGCCACAGTTGTGCAAAAATAAGGCTTATCAGGCATTAGTAAGGTCTCTCACAAAATGCTTGTGGGTGGGATTTCAGGGAAGAAAAACACACTGGGCTCAGAGGCCATGAATGGGTATCCAGGCCCTACTGAATATGTGTTGATTTAAGAGTGCTCAGAATAGACACTGCTCTACTGGGCACAGTGGAAGACACATCATAAGTAGCATTCTTTTAGCACATGGAGTTATGTGGCAAAGCATGTGGCGAAGGCAAGTCACCTCTATTGGGAAAAAAAGATTTCTTAAACTTAAAATTTCTTAAAGTTGAATTGTTTGGGGCTCTGCGCTTCTCAGATCAAAACCTGTCAGGAAGGTCTGCGCTTCAACTTGAGACTAACAGGATACTCTTGCTTCTAGTCTCAGATGAACTAAAGGATGGCGCAGATGACAGAGCTTGTGGATGCAAAAACAACTTGGAGAGGCAAGTCAAACATAACAGAAGCTGAAAGTAAATATTATTACTATTAGATTAGGAAGGAACTGAACTGTCACTGGGGTGGCAGCCTAATTTGCTTAATATTCACTTAGTGTCAGTAGTATATTCACATGGCTTTGGTTGAATATATTAAAATAAGGCTGTTCCAGCAAGTGTTCCAGTCTGGTGAAACCAGAGCTAGTAGCCCAAGCTGGTTGTAAGCTCATGAGCAGTGTGCTAGTAAGTGAAAATGAAAGCATCGACCTGTATTAGAACTTGACAAACTGTTGATTCTGCCTCTGGAGTAACTGGCTGTGATTTACCATCCTTGGCTGGAATAAGGTTAGACTATACAACACCCTTAAAATGTTAAAAGTCACTTCTCACTTCAGGAAAAAGTAATACTTCTAATACTTCTCTACTGCACTTGCTGACAGGAAATGTATTGTGGTTTGTGAGCTCACAAAAACAAATTCCAATCAGTGCTAATGTGGCAATAAATGACTGAGATTGATATTAAATGCAAAAAAGTCACTACATTTTACCCTTCACTTATAGAGTTTATAAATTTCAGAATGAAATGTTTTACATACAGTCCAGCAGGTGCAGCTCTGGGGGGTGGGGCTACAGGAGCTGCAGAGAGCGGAGCAGCTGCAGGTGGAGGAGGAGATGGAGCAGGCTGTGAGGAGACGAGAGAAGGGATTTCCACTTGTTTCCAGTCTTCCCCTTCCTCGACCATCACTGCAATGAGAGTCCCTAAACGCACATTTTTACTACCTTCTTCTATCTGAGAGAGAGAGAGAGAGAGAGAGAGAGAGAGAGAGAGAGAGAGAGAGAGAGAGAGAGAGATCGGTTATCAGTTCTCTGAAAACTGCGTTAAGTTCTAATGAGCTTTTGTTATCACTTGTCTCAAGCTGTTTGCCCAATTAATAAGTACAAATTTACTAATTAATAAGTACACATTCATTTTATTTTACAAGGTGACAAGAGACATCTTTGGCGAATTAGGAGCAGAACAGCGTTGCAATTAATGTTATAGATGTACAATATACACTGTATGGCAAAAATATGTGGACACCTGGCCAACACACCTAGCTTGGATGGACACTGCATTCCAAAACCATAGTCATTAATACAGCTACTCAGTAGAGAGTGATGCAACTGAGGATAGGCGATTTATACACACTACACGCTTTAGCACTTGGCAGCCGTGCATGGTGAGTTTGTGTGGTCTACCACGTTGTAGCTGAGCTATCGTTGCCCCTAGCTGACATATCAGCCGATATGCAGAATGTTCTATTCAGTAAAGACAACCAATCAAGACTTGATTGAAAAGCCTGAAAAAGACTAATTAATAAAGGTCGGCTTACTATATTATGTAAATTATGTAAATCCATGTTATGGATCACACCCTGAAATTTTATTTTTTAAATGTTTCATATCAGCCATATGGTTTGGCCTATTTGCTTTCTTATAATAGGGTCTAAAAACTACAGCCAGGTCCATAAATATTTAGACATCAACGAAGTTATTGGTATTTTAGATGCCTACTACTGCATTATCATTACCATACCATTATCATACACAGCTCCCCATTTTAGAGACTCAAAAGTAACTAACGATGATTAACTAACTGGTCATTTTTATTACTTGGTTGCAAATCCTTTGCAGCCAATGACTGCCTGAAGTCTGGATCCCATAGACGCTGGGATTCTTCCTTGGTTTTCAGTTCCTGTTTGTTCTGGGTGCAGAACAGTCCACTTCTTTACCTTAAAAAGTCTTGAGTTGCATTTGCACTATGTTTCCGGTATGCTTCATGCAAATGTCACATTTGAAATGTATGCTTACTTGTAAGTGAATAATTAGGAAGTAACACACACATCTGGCCATGAAAATAGCTGAGCAGCTAATTGTCCAGTTCTTTTGGAGCCCCTAAAAATTGGGGCTATATACGGCAATGGCATTAAACCTCAAATTAAACCTGGAAGTCTGCACTATGAGCTCATATTAATTGTTTAATTTCATATCCAATATGCTGTGGCACACAGCTGAAATAATGATAATTCTGTCGACATCCAAACATTTGTGGACTGTTTGTATGTCTATGTGGATCGATAAGTGTTATAGGATTGGTTTGAAAAAGTAGGTTATGCAAAATAGTTCAAACCCTGTTGTCCTTCATCCTTTTTGTTTACCATCAGTCAGGGAATCTGGAGGAGATCAGATTCAGAGCAATACTGGAGGAGCACCTGTCAATACCAGTACAGATGAAATAGGAAGAGTCTTCAGCCAATAGCATCATCGAGTCAACATATTGCTGACTCTGTAGTATATTTGCCTGTGCATTCAATACCTAATGAGTGAGCAGGACAGTGAAAGAGAGAAACAGGGGACTGAAAGAAAGCATGAAAGAGAGACTCCACATTCAATTTATTTATGCCACCTAAGTGACCATGAGCAGACCTCACATATCCTCAATTCAATTTCCTCCTATTAGTTTCTGCTTTTGTGTGCTGACAACCGTTTATTTTGGATATAAGCAGCTGGACATGACGACACAACTACCACCTGGCTTGACCCATAACTGTCAAAAAGCAAACCCTTCTAACAAACACAACACTTTGTTGTTCTTACACGGTCAACACAGATTAGTTCTAAATGAAAGACCATGCACTTTAAACAGTTCAGCTTTGGAAAATGTGAATGGATTTTGAGTCACCATTCCTTCACAAGGTGGAGCACTACCAAGGGAGGAAAAAACTGAGAACAGGCTTTATTCTCAGTAAGATCAGTCTGCCAGGAATCAGAGTGTTTGTTCTGGTGTTAAGCGGAAGGTGATCCAGTACCAGTTTTAAGACATGTCCATGCACATCTCCAGCGCTGATTATGGTTGGAATATGGCAGGATTTTACATCATGTTTTGTTCAACAAACCTTTTAAGACTACCCAATATTAAACACACTAGTCAAGACGATCAGTAAACCACCTCTGACTGCTTTCATAGCTGCAATGTAAAAATGCCATTCTGTGGCTAAATCAGTCTATTAGGCAACATGAATTGGAAATCAACATATATACACTGTGATGTATTTCCCAGGGAAAGTCTTCTAGTTAACTGAGGATTTGCTTAATCAGATCTTTATTTGGAATGTTAGTCATACATGGGTCACTGCAGACATGTTCCTCTCTGTGGTATTGTGAAAGTTTATTGTATTGAAGGTAGCCTAACAACATCTTCCAGAAATTTGCTTTCAGTATATTTTTAGGAAATTGTGGGCTGTTTTGAGACTTAAGTCAGCATCAGCCAAATGAGGAACACATGTTTGGGCGCATACACATTGTTGCCATGGCAGTTAACAGTGTATGAATCTATTTTGCCTTGTTTACAACTTCCTAACACTACATGGACAAACGCCAAGGAATAATCTCATCAGCTACTGGAGCTCTCCTGCCACTACTGTGGATCTTACACATTCATATTATACAGAAACCTCAAAAAAGAGGCTAAAGATATTAAGAAATAACCAACAGATCAGCAAAATCTGTAAACTACATTGATGTAGCAAAAGGGTATTGCTATAAAGCACATCATCGAAGATGTTGGTGCTCACCTCTGTTTGGTCTGTGATTGATATCTCTGGTAACCCAGAAAGGCATGTGTTATTATATCACTGCAGCTTATAACTTTGTTTTACATAACCCACATAAGGGAAAAACTAATTTTTCTCACTTTTTAAATAAAAGAGTTTGCTGCAGTACATCAACATTTTCAAAGTTTTAAAATTTACCATCCCATATATGGAAACAATTCACATACTAGGGAAAAACACATTTTCCCTTATATGGAAACTAATTCACATTCTATTTGTGATGCCACAAACCCCAATGCATTTAATAATAATAATGTTTAGCCTTGCCCATCTACGTTGAAGTTATAAGGAGTGTTCTGGGCACAATTTAGAGCAGTCAATCAGAAGAGAGGTCACTTACATATATCACTCTCAAAGGAAACAGCCTGTTTAGTTCTAAGGGATAAAGAAAGGTTTGGAAAATGGTCTCGTAAAAAATGAATAACTGTCCTTGGCAAGTAGGACAACACAAATGCCACAATGGGACTTCAAAGAAAGAAATAAAATACAAGAAAAATGTTTAGAGCCTGTATTACACATGCCTTTTACTCTCAATGTACCCTGAAGACTTGGGGATGGGGGCCACCTTTTACAAAGGACTGAACAGTATGCAGTCAGTGAGGAACAGAGTATCTCTGACTTTGTAATCTTATTACTAACTAGGATTACAAAGTATATGGTGAGAAACCTTTAATGAAATGCCTAATACAGCTCTCATGACCAGTTCTCTTAGGATTCACCTTCCAGCCCTGTCATAAGAGAATCATGCAAGCATTGCAACACGCAAGCTGTGAACTGCGCAAAAAAATACACAAACAGAAATGGTAAAAAAGTGCTGCACAGTTAAAAAAAAAAAATCCAGACCTCTGGGAGGTTAGTACCACACAAACACAAATCACTATCAATAAACAGAATTTATACAGGCTTAATAATTCTTTTCATGCGCTGTAACTCTCACTCTACTGCTACTAGCAACATAACACTCATTCACTCATTCATTGCTGGTAAGCTCCACCATTCTCTGCTATTTATTTCTCTTCTCACAGATGGCCAGACTGGCTTAATTGGTCGCCGGGTGGATTGAAGAGCTCAACACTGCCATCACTTGGATGGTCAAAGTAATTGCAGACGGGTTTATCATCTTGTTCGGTTTTTGTTTCAATTCATCTAGAGAGCTTAACTGACAGACATTGACTATGTCTTTATATTTAAGAAGCAAGCAAAACTACATGCTGAAGGTAAAAGCAAAATGAGAAATGTGCTTCTAATCTAATGGCAGTCTGTGTTTTCGTAAGCCATAAATATCCACCCCTCCCCCCTTTCAGTGCCATTCTCGTCTCAGAGCTAACACTAGACCTGGGGGTTTGGCTTCCTCACTCCAAGCCTATAAAAACACACCAGCTACATCGATCTGGTCAAAGGGGTGGTGAGGGTTGCCATGATCGAACTAAACACCCTTGTGCTTGTTACTAGGCAGAACAGCGTCCAAAGGGGACTTGGGCGATTTACAAGAAACATCAATGCATGCCTCTGATTTCTGACAAACAATGTGTTAGAGGCTCCTAGCACTTCAGGGCTGCTTTTGACAGAGGAAAAGAAATAAAGTAGCTTGGGTTCTGCTGGCCATCTGTTGGGAAGAGTAAGGAAAAAAAACAACAAATATAAACAACTATGGAGGAAAAAAGCCATATGCTTATCCGTGGTTTACAATAATAACAACTATACCATGAGCTATAAAATCTCAATATACCTAACAATACAACCCCTCAGCCTCTTTCTTTATAAGAAAAATTACCACCTACAATTGTTTATTTCTCAATGAACCAGTGAGTAAGCTTTCAGCAAGATACGATAAAAATAGCACTGAGTAAGTCCCATTGAAATGGAGCCGCAGATGGTGGACGGCATGGGGCGTAGGGGAGCGGCTGGCACACGTACCCAGGGCAGGAAGCACCGAACTGGGACGCTGTGGAACGGAGGCGTACCTTGCTGGGCTAATGAAACGGAAGTCATGTGGAGCAGCGGCAAGCATCAGAGACTGAAACATTTAGTCGAACAGATATGCATTAGTGCTTTAAAAGATAGCATGTTTGCTATAGTCACACACTGCAAATGCCAAAATCCAGTATTATGGACTGCGAAAAAAATGAGTCTTCGATTTCATGAGAAATTAACTACTGGACCAAAATAACAACTGTTCAAGAGAAGAAAGAGAATGAGAGAAAAACAGTCTTACTTTGAAGGTATTTAAAAATAATTTACATTTAATAAAGACTGAAAAATTAGAGTTATAATACAGCAAAATAACATTTTTATTTTAGGATGGGATCATATACTGACATTCAAACCATAAGCTCATCTCTAAGCTCTTCCATGCCATCTCTAACCCCATCTTCCACCCATATATTATCCACCTTTCTGCTTATCTAGCTACTCTCTCCATGTCAATATCTCATCACTATGTGAGCGACTGAATCTTTGGCAGATGGCCCTTTTCAGATAGAAGTCACTGGGGTCAAAGTGGCATAAGCCTGCAGTCAGAGATGGGGGGGATAATATGTGTACCGAAGTCCATATTGCTGCTTCCCTGGACACCTTTAAACCTATAAAGCACTGTGGACAGTGATTAGGGGGCCATGGTGAGACTGACCTCTCCATAAATTAAGATTCCCACCCCTATAACATATTCATGCACACAGACATACACACGCACAAATGTGCAGCGAGCGTGAGCTGGCTGGCGAGGCAGGTGCCCTGCAGGATCACGCTGGTTATCTAATTCAGGCCATTTTTCTTCTGCTCCTAAACTCCCCCTCCCCAGTCTCCATTCCCCTGGCCTGTTGCCATGGAAACTCCCTCACAGAGGAAGCTGAAATGTGTGTGAGAAGGAGGCGACGTGACACACTCAATGGCCTACAGGTCAATGTTTTTACTGTAATGTTATAATGTGACTTTATTACAGACCACTCAAGGTGCACGTGTTTAGACATGCGTAAAACTGATGATGTAATAAAGACCTGAACCCATCTGAGTCCGTTCTCTATGTTCTCAATCCTGCAATCTGCTCTTCTTTTTAGCATGTTGACAAAAATCCTCAGAAAGACCACTATATAAATATATAAGGGTTATAAGAAATTCACCTTTTGATGAATTAGCTTAACCTCATCTTGAAAAATCCAAACCTTTAATTGAAGTAAATTCATTCTCAGGAAAAAAAAAATCCTTCATCAAGAAATATTTTTTTTTTACAAATCAGCATGTGCTACATTTATTGTCAGCCTTGCATTTAATACCTTGTACAACCTTTCTTTGCCAAAAAACAGCACTTGGTCTTCTGTAACATCTTATAAGGTTGAAGAATACAGAGCAGAGACCTTTCTTCTTCACAGAATCTCTCCAGACTGTCCAGGATCCAAGGTCTTCTCTTGTGCACTCTCCTCTTTAGCTCACCCCAAAGGTTTTTTTAATGGGGTTCAAATCAGGCCGTGGTAGAAGTCTGATTTAGTGTTCAGTAAACCATTTTTTATGTTGGTACGGACATATGTTTTGGATCATTTTGCTGATGGAAGATCTAATGACGGCCCATTTTTAGAGGCAGACAGATTTTGATGTAAAATGTCCTTGCATGGAGTCCATGATGCCATGCACCCTAACAAGGTTCACAGGCCTTTGGAGAAAAAACAGCCCCACAGCATCACAGACCCTCCACCATACTTAACAGAGGGCATTAGGATCTTTTGAGTGTGAGATCAAGCTAATTCACCAATAAATTAATTTCTTGGAACCCTTTTATATATATATTATATATATATATTATTATATATATATATATATATATATATATATATATATATATATATATATATATATATACGTTGTGTTTTATATTTGTTGACTGACAAACAGACAGACAGACTTCACTGTGTGTAATCTCTTGCCCCAAGCAATGATAAGCCTTCATTCCGACAGTACTGACAGACCACTTTAGGACACGTTCACCAATGTAGAGAAAATACATCTGGATTACGATGTTTTAGTTCATCACTGACATGGACACAGATAAGCATACACATGGGTGGCACACAGTCACACAGGTGGAGACGTACACGGATGGACACACACACACGGACAGACGTACACACACGGACGAACACGTATACACAAGGATGAACATGTATACACACGGACGAACATGCACACTTGGCATTCACAGAGATACATTCAAAAGGTATTCCCTACTGCCACATTCAGTGACATTCCACAATTAGGCCAAAAATAGAGGGAAATGTGTGGAAAACAAAACGCTCATTAAGAAATGTTTTAAGCGTGGGAAGCCTCCTAGACTCCTTGGAGAGATCACTGGATTATGGAAATGAGGTACTATCGCTGACAATTCTATTATCTGGTGATGGAAGGCTTTCTACAAGACAAAAGACAAAAGGAAGGGAATTCACAACAAAGAGGCAATTCCCTTTCATCTTTTCTTTTCGAAGAATGCAGCTTCTTCAGGAGCTTTCCTCGACACATGAAACGAGAGAGAGAGGGAGAGGGAAAGAGAGATAGAGAGAGAGACACTGACTCATTATTGCATTAAGCATGCAGGGAGCGAATATAAAATGGAGCTAGCATGCCTTTTTAGAGAGGGCTTGTTTTTGCTCCTCCAGTCCTCAGCAACCTTAATGAGTAGCTCTAATTAGAGCCGAGAATACTCACGCAGGCACATGCACTAATAAAGACCCACATGCAAGCACGCACACACGCACATACACACACACTTTCTATAACTGCTTCTAAACGAGTTAAGGTGCTAAGCTGATGGTGAAACGACTCAGGAGACTGAAGTCAATACAGCAAAATCAAAAAGTCTCATCTCTTTTTCACTCTGTAACCATCTCATTTTTGCTTTTATCCAGAGGACTCCCAATCACTCAATCACTCAATCACTCAATCACTCAATGACTCACTCACTCACTCACTCACTCACTCACTCACCAGAATTTTAGCTAGAACACCATCATCGTTGGATTCCATGGTAACCACAGCCTTGTCTGTCTCAATTTCGCAGAGAGCATCGCCAGCTGCCACTGCTTCACCTGTTCACTCACAAAAACACAAAACACAAAAATGTATAATTTAATAATAAAAATAAATAAAGAAAATTTCTCCAAAATTCACTCAAAATTGACTGGATTTCAACAAAAACAAGAAATACTTTTACTATCATTTATCCAATCCAAAGTACTGATGTACTTCAGAAACCAATGGGAATTTCAGAGATATTCTGTAGTTTTTCTGTAGTTATATGTGAGACTACCCATGTGAAAATAAACACAATACACAGCTAACCTGCTAGCTCAACTGTATGCCTAATGCCCAGCTTGCAAGAACAGAACAGTTTCATTGCAGGATGTCAACCTTTGCCACTATGGTGTTGTGTCTGGTCCCCAGGTGTTTGTAAATAATAGAAAAAGCTGAAGCCTGAACTATCAGAGATATCCCCAGATATCACATTTATTTCCCAGAGAACAACAGTGGAGCAATGTCTCTAGGATGTAGTAGAGTTGAATTCAGTAGCAAACACAGCAAAATCATGGAAGCAAGTCAGAAGCACTTTACACTGTTGTAAAATGTTGGAGATACAGGAGATGCAAAAGGCGCATCAAAATACATTTCAAGGAATTCCTTAATCATGGAGGCGGAGGATATGTGCTGTTTCAGAGCTTCTCTGGGAGGCTCATCCCCAGCCCACAGCCAAGTCCCATAAACTAAAAGAGCCACAAGACTTATTACGTGATGTATTCCACACCATCATAACCCCCATCTCTATGATCCCAGTTCATTTGTGCTGCACAGCAGGCCATCAAACACTGCAGCACACAGTAATGTACCACTATCTCCATTTAGATTCCAGAGCTGGGAGCTCTCATGAATACATTTAAATTTGATTATCGATGAAAAACTACCGCGATTAGGAGACAGCGGTTTCCTCCATCACACGCACAGATATGTACGCTCTATTTCAGGGCAGTGTGTATACTATAGATAGAAGAAAAAGAGGGGGAGATGACATAGACAGCATGATTAAAGAGCTTAGAACAAAGTGGATGATGAAACTGATGAGAAAACTACAGCTCTGAGTGACTAACCCGCCATAACAGATAATACTATCCTTCTATAATTAACAAAAACTTCATTCACCCTAAAACTCAGATAAGTGATGTTATTGATGGTCTGCATCAGACAAAGATCAAGCAGTAGACAGAGTGCTAACTAGCTGTTAGAGTGAAAAGCGCCTGGGGAAAAATACAATATGAATCAAAGTAGTAAGAGCACGGCAGCAAAAGCTACAAGCTAGCCTCAGCCTCAGGCGCTCTGCTCACAGAAGTACGCGGACCATCGGAGCTCTAGAACACTAGCCAGACACAGCCATTAAGGTTTCGTCGCTTTCTGATTGGCTGTCTACTTCCTTGCACCAGTTTATATCCATCTAACAGAGATACACTTCGCAAACAGTTACCTGCTCAGAGCGCTGCAACAACAATGAGCCTTCCAGAGCAATATATAGTCACCAGCCACATATCTGGAAAATGTGGTGAAGAGTTTTCTTTCAAATATTCAGTTGCTAATAAAAGAGAGTTAGTACCAGAGTGGCCTCATTTTTGAGAATCGCCTGCTCCAATACACTATAGTGGAAGATCCGGTTGTGGTTAGTTATTTCACACGTCAGTTAAAATATTCTTCACCTTTTCTGTCAATGTTTTTTGGCCACAAAACCCACCAGCCTCTTTGATGATAGTATGTAGTCTGGCTTGAAAAATGGACTCCTCAGCCAAAAGAAGCAACATACACTGTTACCTAGAGGTTGGCAATATGACAATATTTTATCGTTATTGTGATAAACAAAATATGCCTTTCTGAGCATATTGTGGATATCATCAGTACTTAAAGAACTCTAACTGCATGTTTCATTGAAAAAACAGCATATTTAGTCTTGTTTATTTGGTTTTAGTGCAGTGGAGTGTGTAAAATTGTGATACATATCTTTATCGTGAAAATGTCATTAACTATCTTGATATGACACTTTTGCCATACTGCCCATCCCTACTTTTACCTAGACACCATTCAGGGACCAGGAAATTCTCCCACCACATGTATGAACACACACAAAAACCCACATTCACACTTCTAGAAGCACAGCCTGAAACAGTGGATTGCACATATTGATGTTCTGTTTTTCCATCAGGGGAGCTGAAATTCAATCTTACTCCATTTAATCCTGTATTGACAGACAGGGAACGACCAAGGGAGAGGAGAAGGATATGAGCGAGAGTGAAGGAAGAAAAAAAGAAAGAAAGAAAGAAAGGTAGAGGGATGAGGGACAGGGATGAAGTACAATCCAGTGTGCCTTTAACGCTGTGTAAGTGATTCTGCACACTCCTCATTACTGTGCAAGAGTAGCTCAGGAGAGAGGCAGAAGGTAGTAAAAGAGAGCAAGTACCAGAGCAGCCTCATTTTGAGAACTGCCAGACTATTAGTCTAGGCCAGAGCACACACTGTATATTTGTGTGTAAGCGTGTGTGAGACAGTATAGTACAAAACACACTAACATTTCGGCTTAACAATGACCAGGATATGCAATATTTATCGCTAAAATGTCAGCTGACAGATACTGAACCTTTGAAACCAAATGCATCATTTGGCTCACAGTTTCAGCAACACAATAAGACCTGTACCAACATATCCACATTCATTTAACTTTACCTGGGTATAAAATGATGCACTCATGCTTTTGTCACCTATTTCACATCTTTGGCCCTGCCTTTTTAGGCACTAATACAGTTTCCCCTCAAACAGTGTTCTCAGACTGGATCCTTCTTTAGGAAGAGAAAGATATGAGAGAGATGAAGGAAGAAAGAAAGGTAAAGGGATGAGAGAAAGATGAAGTACAATCCAGTGCGCCTTTAATGCAGTGTAAGTGATTCTGCACACTCCTCATTACTGTGCAAGAGTAGCTGTTACAAAGAAGTCATACTTTTTGCATTATGATGCCTGTACTTATTAACATACTGTGAGGTAAATCACTACAGATGGCCTTTCAGCGTTGCTACTGGTATCAGGCAGGAAATGCTGTGTCAGATGTCGGTCAAAAAAAAGAATTAATCTGATTCAATCCTGTAACAAACCTAGCCAAATCTCGCGCGCTCTCACATTGTGTGATATGATGTCAGCTGTGTATTTCTTTCTGTTGGGTAGCTGAGCGTTTGAGAGGTTTCAGAATGATAGATTTTCTTAAGTGAAGTGCTTCATTTAAAAAGTAGCTAAATTTAAAGTTTACTAGATTTTAAAGAAAAAATATCGGGTCACTGGCAGCTGATATTCAATATTTAAAAATGAAGGATGAGGAAACGAGAGTTAAAGGAGTAAAGAAAGCCATTCATGTGTAGAGTAGAGGGGGTAGAGGGGGATGTGTGAGCTCTTTAGGGGTCAGAGACTGTGTCAGTTATTAAACCGAAATCCATTTGATCCCACCCTAACCACATCAAAAAGTCAGTCCCTCAACAACACAATGACACACTACAAGCCAACAGTCTAAGTCACTTAGTCCTTCTTTACTGCTTTCACACTTCACACCAAAATGAGACTGCTTTTTTTTTCTTTCTTTGCACTGCCAACATAAAAAGAACTCTGCTGAAAAAAAGGAACAAATAAGTTTATAATTAGAAGATGCGACACTAGCTACGTGTTAACAGAACTGTGAAAAGTGTTCTGTTCCATGACCACAGTGTCTGAGGGCTTCCTTAAATTAAATGTAACACTTTTAAACTTTGTAATGCAACTCTGCTACCATAAAGCCAATATAAAAACAGTCTTCAAAGTAACTCAAGTAACTCACTGACACATCATCATGTCTCCATGTATGCTACCTAGACAGTGTGAAACTTTTTAGGCCCTTTAATTTAAAAAGCAAATTCAGAGAAAGCAAGACCTGCAGACCTTGCAGACACCCTGACACTCACTAAATTAAGGTGAACATTTTATACCATTAAATCTACACGGGTAGAGTGTAAAAACAGTTTGAGCTTGATGTTCAAGTGTGGCTGTGCAATGCTTCCTATGTGCTATTGCTGCTGCATGGCTCGTCCAGTGCCTTTAGATGGCTACAGCAGTCTTTCAATCTTTTCTTCACTGGAGTAACAGATTTACAAATCTGACCAAAATGTAAGACACGGGGTCTTCAGTGGCCTCTGTAGAGTGTGAAGTTAAAACAGCTTTAAACATGAGAATCTCTTATGTTAGAGAGAAGCTAATTTACTTATCAAAAATCCTAATTTACTATAAGATTTTTTTTACACTTACATGGCTATTTAAAAAATTCTGACCCATCTCTGCTTAGGCATTCAACACTGTTTGACCTACCTGGAAATAAGAACAAGCTTGCTTTAACACTCCTCAGATCAATCAGTGTTGCACAACAGGCGAGATTCAGATAAACGGTTGAAATTGGCAATGACACAAACTGGTGAGTACAAAAGAAAATCCAATGTGGAAAGTGGGAAAAGGTCTTGGGAGATTGTTTCACTGACATTTGTATCCACTACCCCTCCATTTACAGGGAGTAAAAATCTATTTTCTCACCTTTTGTTGGGCATTTAACTCAAAGCCTGCTGACACCTTTCTTATATTGACTGTTTACTGAAGCAAAGATCTCGCTACTCAGCTCATCTGTATGTGTATGTTAATAAACATGTATGCACTGGCTTACTGGCTGCCCTGTCTCTGTATTCATCTTTACTGGAGTCGAAGAAAAAAAAAGGAAAAAAAAGGAAAAAATAAAGAAAAAAAAACTGATGCTGGCACATTAAGCCTTGCTGTAAGCAGCCTGGGGTAAGCCTGTGATATATGACACAGAGCTTAGTGCCCTAGCATGGGCAGTGCTGTAGCTCTGTGATGAATTGAAAGGAGCCCTCAACCCTTACTTGTAAGCCTAATGGGCTGCAAAAGGCTTTCCGGCTACTCTGTGATCTGAAGTAGAGTAATTTGCCCTCATAGTGAAGATGATTGCACTTATCACCAACATGGGTCAACAAACCATGCCGTAGAGATGGAGTCTCAATAGGTTAAGAGGCAGGAGCCAGAGGCACAGGATCTGATACAAATGAGTACTTGAATTCGGTTTTAGCTATATTTAATTTTACAGGGGATTGTAATTTAAATGATTACAATGATTACAAATTTTAGCTTTCTGACAAGTCCACAAGTAATAATTTTGAATTGAATTATGCAATTAGCTAATTTTAGAGCTCCCTCAGTAGGGCTATCCTGTTTGATCTCATTCTAATGCAGTAACAAAACCTGCTGTGCGCAGTGTTGTTTTTGTTATTGAACGGTGTATCTCTCACATAACACTACATCACAGCCAAAATGCTCCAGTCCAGGCTAAGTGTGGTAATTTGGAGAAACTACACAGACACTTTGCCAGAGTCTCTAAATGGATCACCAGCAGGACGTTCAGTTTGATGGGCTTAACAGGCAAGTTTGTACAGGTCAATGTTCACGTTGGCAACAGTAAAATGTGTAATTAAAGGGCAACTGATATGCGATTTGTATTTTGACACATGCATTTGCTTGTTCAAAATAGTAATGTAGTTTGTCAGAGGACATTTGATATTTTGCAGTGACAGAGAAACGAAGAACCAGTGGTTCACCCTCACCTTCCTTCTTCAGCCATTTCACAATGTTGCCTTCTTCCATGGTTGGGGAGAGTGCCGGCATCTGCACTTTGATAGGGGCGGCCCCTACAGGAGAGACACAGAATTTCACTATTAGGAGAGAGGACCAGCAAATGAAGAAATTTAATTAGGTTAATAGTCTACATTTGGGTGCACAAGATAATTTGGCTACATGAGATAGGAGAAATTCTCCCAGGTGAAAATAGGCAAATATGTTCCATTATCTATTGAGGGAGTAAAAATGATATTGCTATTAAATTATGCGTATGAATATCACTGCAGCACTCTGCTTCAACCGGAAAAAAAATGTGACTGACCACCACAAGCGAAGATTGTGAAGTGCACAGTAAATGCACACAGACAATAAAGGAATCAGAGTACATCAGTGTCACGCTGCAGGCCAGCGGGAGAGCAGCACCAGCTCAGCGCTGCAGGCTTCACGCTCCAGCAGACAGCTGCCATCTTTCACACACACATTCACCAACACCCCCCCAAACGGCACCAGACCACATATATATGAGCACATATGTGTATATAAGTGTGTGTGTGTGTGTTGCTAACCCCTTAAAAACCAATCTGCCCAAGCAGTGACAGTACTCACTCGCCTAAATTTCAAAACAATTGTTCAACTCAAGAGTCTATTTGCAAGAACAGGAACACCACAGGGGAGTTTAAGAGATAAAGAACAGCTACATAGACTAGTTTACATGCAAGTAACGCAGAGCACTAGACATGCATACATCAATGCACAGCCATAAAGAGGTCATCCTAAACACACAGTACATTATGCATTCTATCCTGTGGAGAATCATTTTGGGTGCGTTAACTCATATTTATTCAAAAGCCTTGCAAATACATTCACTTTGCAGTTTAAAGCTTGTAGTTTATCAAAAGATGCTATCAGAAGAAAATGTCTCTTACTAAAACCTCTTCCACGTTAAAAATGTGAGCTAAACTGCATTTCACCAGGATGTATGGTTCATTTATGCCAAAAATCCTGGTAAAGAGGAGGTGATGTTCTCAGCATGAACAGCCAATTTCATTTCTGAATCAAGTACAAAAATACAATCCCACAGTCATTAAAAAATTTAAAACCTAATCGTAAAAACAGTAACACTTCTCTCTAGAGTCCTGCACAAACTTCACCCCCATGATGTTTTGACCCACAAAAAAATTAAACTATAAAAAAAGTCTGAAACATTCATCTGGCTACAGCAGTGTTTCCCAACCCAGTCCTCAGGGCCCTCAGACAGTCCACATTTTTTGCTAAAACCTAGCTTATAACACATAGGGATGATGGAAAATGCACACACTCTATGGGGTCCTGAGGAAAACACTGGTCTAGAGGTCTTCATATTTCCCAGTAAAGTATTGCCGTCTGTTCAGACATAAGTGCTACCGGTAATTTCCAGAGATGCACATTCTGACTAATTTTGATATCCGAGTATCCATAAGAGACCATGAACAGATATTCCGTTAACTGTGGAGAAGGAGGGAAAAAAACCCATCTAAAAAAAGAAGGAAAATGGATTTTGTCTGAATTATTATTATTCAGGGAAATTGGCAGTTTTTTGTGACAGATGAGTAACGTCTGCCTCAGATGAGCAAATCAACATCAGCCAACAGCTTCAACAATGAAAGCTGATGGAAACCTGTCATCTTCTTCAGATGTTCTTTTCCACATCAGTGCCAATACGAAAAATAAAGAAATAAAACTGAACTGTTCCTGTACCTAGCACCAACTTATCTTTTTTAACAATAACAGCATGGCTATCTTCAGGCACAAATGTTCAGGCATTCAAATTTTAAAGTAGTAAAGTATCATATAACTTGCTCGTAAATAACAGCAAAACTTTCACATTTTACTGTCCTGTTAAAACATAAAATCTGATTTTCACTGAATTATTAGACTGTATATCTTCCCATGATGGAAGGCAATGAATTACCTGAATAGTGATTTCAGTATTCAAACACTGGCTTCATGAATGGATAAGTGAGTACTTGAGTACCCTTGCGCTTCCAGTGTAATTTCTTGGGAACTTTACCAGGTCCTGTGCAGGTAAATTGTTCTGTCAACTTTACGAAGAATTTTACAATAAAGTGTTGTTAAATTTGTGTTGAGACTTAATCCCTTTTCGTTTAATTATGATAACATTTCCATGTAAATGTGCATGTGTAAAAGGAGCTTAATAAACATAGTATGTATGTGGTCAGCAATATTTTTTCCACCTGTAGACCTACTTTTAAGCTTAATTTCACAATTCAGGGACCTGGGCCTAAGACCAAAAGATGATGCAAAATCCTGCAATGTTAGCTTAGTGTGACTAAAAATGCAACAGTAAAGCAGTCACAATCTTTGGTCCTAATACACAGTGTCAACACCCTGAGGGTGCCAAAAAAACTTTCCTTTCGAATTTTTCTTATTCTTCTCACATTATTCAGTTGACAAAACAAGCACGCATAAGGTCAAAAACCCCTTAGCACTAAAATGTGTCATATGCCCTCGTCTTCCCCATTTCCCCATCAAACTCTCTCTCTCTCTCTCTCTCTCTCTCTCTCTCTCACACACACACACACACACACACACACACACACACACACACACACACAGGGTCATGCATGCCTGACTCACACATGACCTGAGTACTGTCACAGAGACAGCTCTGACTAGGCCATATCCACTGAGGAACTACAGGCCAAGACATTCACTTCTTGCAGTCTTCTTTCTTTCATAAAATAAACACAATGATGAAATGGACACCTTGTACAACAATAAAAAGTGATCTATGAGGCAGGGCCTAGTTTCCATTCCATAACAAAGTAAGAGGACTCAAGGTGTGGGCTATGATGAATACAGATCAGCCTAAGAAATGGTAGTAATTTAGGGAACATTAATGACACTGATGAGTGACAGAGCACGAACAAGTCGGTACGAAAAACACTAGACAAGAGTGTACTGTAAGCCCAAATAAGAAACCTAACAGTGGTGTACTGCTGCCCCCTAGTGGGCAAACAAACACAGCCACTAAAGATTTATTAGCTAGTGAGTTGTATTACACAATGGCTCATAATGCCACATACTAAACTACTAGATTAAATATGGGATACAAAGTATGGACAGGCTGAGCTGTACAACATATGGGCCTCCAATACCTGAGATATGATCATTTCAACTAACTTATCCACTGGAGTTTTTCAAAATTATTCACATTTATGCTGTATAAAAGCGTTTGCACCCTTCACAATTTCTTCTATTTTTGTCACACTTGAATGTTTCAGAACATCAAGCTACTTTGAATGTTAGACAAAGATAACCCAAGTAAATACAAAATGCTCTTTTCAAACAATGACTTCATCAAGAAAAATGCAGTTCAGCCCTACCAACCTCAACCAGTTAACCAAATTTAATTAACTACTGGCAACAGTTTCACAAGCCACACCCAGGGATGATTACTGCCAGACTTGTTGAGTAAACATCACTTAAATAGAATCTGTCTGGCAATGTGAAGCAGGAGAGAAGGTCTCAAAAAGCCACACATGATGCATCGATCTCAAGAGATTCAGATACAGATGCGAAACGAAGTCATTGAAAGTCTGGAACCAGTCTGGAAAGGGTTACATTACTAAGGCTCTGGGACTCACCACAGTGAGAGCCTTTGGGAACAGTGGTGAACCTTTCCAGGAGTGGCCAGCCTACCAAAATTTTACCAAGAGTCCACTGGCAACTCATACAGGAGGTCACAAAGGAACCCAGACGAACATCTAAAGAACTGCAGGCCTCACTTGCCTCAGATAAGGTCAATGTACACGATTCCACAATAAGAAAGACTCTGGGCAAAACTGGCATCCATGAGAGAACTGCAAGGCACAAACCACTGCTGACCAAAAAGAACACAAAGGCTCAACTCGCATTTGACAAAAAACATCTAGATGACCCCCAAGACTTTTGGGATAATATTCTGTAGACTGATGAGTCAAATGTGGAACTTTTTGGAAAAACATGAAAACATGGCTCCTGTTACATCTGGCATAAAGCTAACACCACATTCCACCATAAGAACATCATACCAACAGTCAAACATGGTGGTGGTAGTGTGATGGTCTGGGGCTGCTTTACTTATGCGGGACCTGGACGACTTGTCATAATTGAGTAAACCCTGAAATCTACCCCCCCTTCGGAAAATCCTGAAGGAGAATGTCCACCCGTCAGTTTGTGACTTAATGATCCAATGATCCAAAGCAGACAAGCTTCGGTCCACCTCTGAATGGCTCAAAAGAAACAAAATTAAGGTTTTGGAGTGGCCGAGTCAAAGTGACTTGAATCCCATTGAGATGCTGTGGCAAGACATTAAACGGGCAGTTCATGCTTGAAAAACCCTTAAAGCAATTCTACAAATAAGAGGGAGCCAAAATTCCTCCACAGCGATTTAAAAGACTTGTTGCAAGTTATCGCAAACATTTGATTGCAGTTGTTACCACCACGGGTGGCACAACCAGTTATTAGGTTTAGGGAGCGATTACTTTTTACATGGGTGACATAGGTTTTGAATTAATCTTCATCTTCAAAAAATGGAGTGATCATTCAAAAGCTGCATTTTGTGTTTACTCATGTTGTCTTTATCTTATCTTAAAATTAGTTGGATGATTTGAAACATTTAAAATGTGACAAATCAGCAAAAATACTTTTTCACAGCACTGTATACTTAAAACAAATCTTTGATCACTTACATCAGCATATAGATGCAATGACACACAAGACCAGTTCAAACAGAGCAGTTTAAACCCCTATGCTAAGCCAAATGTGCTGTAACTGCAAAAGCTTTTTTTAAACTCTGTAACAGAACTTTAGCACTCCACAAGTTAGGCAGCATTGTAATATTATAGTATACTAGCATTACCAGCATTTCTTACCTAAATTATGTGGCTGTATTATCTACGAATACACAAAGATCAGATCTGATTGGTATCAGCTATTCATAACATTAAAGTACTTGGATGAAATGGGGTGAAGGGGTGGGAATGGGATGGTTTGGTGGTATTTTTAGCAATATTTGTGACAGATAATGAGCAACATGTGCATAAAAAATTCCAATAAAATAGTAGTGTCTCCATTTCCAAGCAGTTTATTTTCAGTTTTTTTATTCTGTTTTGCCCCTTCTGTGGATCATTCATTTTATTAACTTAAACATCATCTGATACCATGATATGTTTCAAAAATACTGTGATAGCAAATTTCATCAATATCACCCAGAACTACTATATAACTATAGTTATGGAAAGCTATAAAACTCATAATAATAACTCATAACTCACACAATATAACACATCGTATTGTACTAATACATCATACGACACCTTTCCTGACATCCATGGAACAAGCACAAACAGACCGTCTTAAGGCTGCAAAGCACTGCAAGCCAATATGCTATTCAACAGAAAAGACTAAATACTGTCACAACCTGTTTCTCTATTTCACACAGGGCTACAATGTACTGGCAAAGTATCATCTCGTGATTATGTTGAAACACATAAGAACTGTGTCATAATAAAACATTAACAAAATAGCAACTGGGAAAACAAGTCAGCAACAGTAGAACTGTGTGATTTCAACAAAAAAGGTATAAGGTACAAAGACTAAATCTGCCAGAAATGGATAGGACACCTGCAAATCACTCATCGGGAAAAATCTGTGATTGGTTGCTCACATGGGAGGCTTCAGTGATTTCTGTAGGGCAACTATTTGCATATCATGACCTTTTGACATATCTTGCTACAAAGGCCAGTACTGCAATATTGATTTAAAAATGATACGTTACACAACACTCAACTCACACACACATTTAGATGCTCCAAAAATCTCTCAACAACTGCTTGCTTTTGAGAGTGGTCCAAGGTCCAAGACCCTCCCTCAGCCAGATGTACAAATGGGGGAAAAAAAAATCAAGTTTGCATTATTAACTGGGAATTCAGAACACACATGAAATCAACGTGACACAGATGGAAAAGGTACTGTACAAGATAAATCCTTCTGCCAAAGTACATCACGAGGACTACAAGGAAGCAGTAGACGCCCAAAAAGGGATCAAGTGCAACCCACAGTATGAAAAAAAACTCATGTGTACACACAGGGAGTGAAGGACAGAGTACTGGGGATTAGGGTAAGAGTCTGGAAATATTAGTGACAAATCAAATCATATTACTTCACAATATGCTTTTCTGAGCATATTGTGGATATCGTCAGTACTTCATAAACACTACAACCTGCATGCTTCATTACAAAGAGAGCACAATCAGTCTTGTTTAACTGGATTTAGTTCAGTGTGTGAGAGACTGAATAAAGATCATTGTATTTTTTGAAATGTGGCACTACTGGTTCTTCTTTCTCTGTTGCAGCTTGTAAAATGTCAAAAAAAAAGTGAAAGTATCCTGATATTACATTTTTGCCATATCGCCCACCTCTAAGCTTTACTGCTGTGAACTACGCTATTAGACAAAAATATGTGGACAGTCCTCCTAATTATTGAGTTCAGTGGCCAGTTGCATCAGCTGTGCTTAAGCTCAAACACAGGCTAGTTGTAATGTAAGTGTTAACCAAGTTCAGGTTTATGCATTACTAAATCAGAATGAGTCGCACCACACAAACTAGTTTTAATGTTGAGCTTAGTAGTAACTACTTAACACCCACAGCTCCAGCTCAGGGAGGCTCAGCAGCTGCCCAAACGTCTAAACTGATCTGCTGTTGTGTTGGTTAGGCAGAAAACGTCATTTAAAATGCTGTGTATTTGGTTGTCTCAGGTAAATATTAAAGAATAAACGGCCATAGATCATTCGTTTCATTCAGCTTAGCTTGTACACATCGTTCTCCTATGCTGGATATTTTTTCACGACTTTCAGATTTGTGGTGCAACCAAATTTCGTAAAAGGATAGTTTGAAAGTATCTGGTGTTAACTAAGGATTTAGTAAAGACCAGTGCAAACCAGTCAGAATGTTTCAGCCACAACCACTGCTAACAAATGGATAGAATCGAGCACACAGCCATGCAATCTCCCTAGACAAACACTGACAGTAGAATTGGCTGAACTAAAAAACCAAGTGACTGCCTCTGGAAGCAACAATTGTGTACCAATTATGGCATGAATGTTGTGGACCGACAATGTAGTTGGACCAGATTTGGGTTCAATAGTTCTACTTATTTTACAGTGTGTGGGCCAGATCTGGGCTGAGGATCCAGCCGTACACTCTGCCAGGATGTGGCCCACAAGTGGGCAGGACAACTCCACATTAATGCCCATGGTTTTGGAATAGGACGTCCAACAAGCTCATATGGGTGCGATATATGTGTCCACATAGATTTGGCCAACAGACACAGTAATGCCCAGTAAAGCAATGATGGCCAAACTCACTGCAAAGTGTCTATGGATTGTTTGCTCTCATATGGGGCTGATTTGCTTAGACTCCCGCTGTGCAGTGCAGGGGCAGGACTGGACATGGACCCCACCACACTGACCAGTGACTTTACTTAAACAGCACGCTAACTACTGTAATCTCGTACTGCAGCAGCATCTACTCAACCTGCTGAATGATTACTCGGTATAAATGACCTCCCCTCAGATGAGCTCACAGTTCTGTTCTGAAAAACAATACCACGTAAACAGCTCCTCAAATCTCAGTACGTGGGAACACAAAACAAACAACCGATGTGATAAAAACATTCACACCGCTGAAAAATCTAAATCTTCACTGATTTTCTAGCTGATTAACGTTACCTTGACAGCAGCCTTGACAGTTAGCGTTAGCTCAGCTGTCCAGCTACCAGACACAAAACCGGCAAAAAGGGCACAACTAAGAGAGACACTTACCCAGAAAAGACGGGGACTGAAATAACTGCCTGAATGAACCCCGACCCCCATGCGGACTCCAGTGACATTCTTTAATTTTGATTATTCTCAGCCCGGTTAATACGGCTCGACGCCCCAACCATAAGGAGGCCGCCATGTTTGTGTCCTTTGGCACCTAAGTGTGTTCAAACGACCGCCTGACGATAAATCAGCGCGAAGTTTGATTCATTTGTTCTGAGTAAGACCGGCCTGTTCGAGACGTGCACTTAATCAGATACATCCGGCTTTTTTCTCATTATTTGTAACAAACGTACTCAAATATAAAATATAAATTTAAATCTTCAGTGTCCTTGAAGAAATTATGCACTGACAGCCCCAGATGATGCTGTGAATAGCGCCATCTAGTGTAGCGACAGTGTCAGAGTTCCCAGAGAGCTCCCCAGTAGAGCTGTAGGAGGATGAATAGACCAATATGAGAAAGAAAATTGATCGAATAATAAATCACAATACAAGATTTATTCATCATAATTAGAAAAGCAATGGGCGGTGTCTAAAACAGACAGTGCCCACTCAGACAGTGTTCTGAGGCACGAAGGGACCCAGTCAGGTTTGTACAAAATCAAAGACTTTGATAAAACTACGCCGCCTTCTTAAGCACTTACGAGACAGCACAGCCAGCAAGGCATCGAGACAGCTGCCTTCAGTTTGGGACACAGCCGTTGTGAGCCTATTCTGTGTATAGTCCCGTGGATTATCATCAACATTTCACCTCTGTCGTTATAGAATTATTTCACTGTCCACCTTTTTCTCACACTGCTCTCCAGTCTGTGATGATCTACTACACTCACCCGCAGAGTTGCCGGGTTCGCGGTTTCCCGCCAAATTGCGTTAGGTTTAAAATGCATGTCTGTGCCACTGTCAGAGATGTGGCACTATTCTGGACTTCGTAAATTTTTTTAACTAAAAAAATGAGGTAGTCCAGCACAATCTGCCTCAATAATAAGAACACTACTAAATATCCCTAGTTTGCAATTTAATTCAAATTTGGTTTAAAATGATTCATGGCTGACTTGATAAAAATTTTGTGCCCTGCTGAAAACTAGAATTTCTGTTGCTTTCTGGTGGCGTTCAATAATGTTTTTCTTAATAAATAATAATAAATGTAATAAATGTTTTTCTTGAAAAGGAAAAAAAAACATTTTTAACACTCTGTACAAAATATATATTGTTTTCAAATTTTATAAGCATATAAGCATCTATGAATAGGATTTTGTCGGAGGTGTGTAGAGCAAACACAGCTTGAATAGTAGAAGTAAAAAGTATCAGTATAATTCAATAAGAACTTCCAAAAGCCTTAAAAACTTCAAGTAGAATTGAATTTCAATTGAACTTAATACATTCAGCATCAGTTTGTTAGATGTTATTTTCTTTTAAGATCCCTTTGGTCCAAAATAAAAAAAAAGTGAGAGGTTTGAGCAACAGTAAAGCAGAACAGGAGCTGAACCAACAGAGATAAGATTTCAGCATAAAGTGAAGCTGAGCAAAAAATGAATTTGTTTTATTCATACATATAAGCTACCTGAGTAACTGTCATTTGAATTTACCCACAGAATGTCAAATCCATACAGGTTAGGTACATGCAGCAGATTAAATGCAACATTGTAACTAAAGCTAACTGGCTAAGCTTCGAACAGCTAGCTAACAGACTTAAAATAAATTACACTTTAATAAAATTTACTTGGAGCGTCCTGTATATAGTTTAAATTAACTAAAACCATATTAAATATACAGCTTTTTTCACAAGGATGAAGAAGTGTAGAAAGTTAAAAGTCTTCAATCACTTTTTGATTGCTTCATTTCAAATCCATTGTCATGGTGTGCAGAGTGCAAATTACAAAAATTGTGTGACTGTCCAAACATTTATAGACCTGACTGTGCATATAGAATCTCTTTCTCTTCAATGTCTAATGTCTCACACACACAGCCACTGCATGCAGTTACCTGGAGTTTTTAAAGCGAGGAACACACAAGATCACACTCAACTCAATCAGCTCAACAGGAAGCAATAAATCAAAATATTTGATATGGTCTTAAAACTCATTAGACTTCTTCTGCAGTGATATACATTCCATCTAAGGCAGCAAAACTTCTAAACTACTTTTCACCGTTTGAAGCGCTTTGCATGAACACCTGTAACCTTCATAAAGTGATGATAATAAGCCTCACTTCGTATACATATGTTATTATAGTTATAAGAGTTTGGTGCTATATTACTCAGTAACACTGATTTGTCAGCAACTTGACGGGTGCAAAAAATGTTATCAAAAACATGCATGTTGTGTAAGTGTCCTTACAATAGTCAGCTTATTGAAAACCGCACACATTATCCTGGCTAGTCACTGGCTTTAACTCTGTGCCTACATGACATTCTATTAGGACTGTAAAGGTATTACAAACTACAATATGGTCGCCACATTATGCAACATTACAAATAATATTTAATTTCCTCTTCCACTACTTGGCACAGAGAACAAGTTTCCACAAGCCTGTCAACTTATTTCAGTGAATCAAATTAATAACCACACAGGTTTCACAGGAGTCGGAGGCTAGCAAAGAAAACGAAAGTAAACAAATAAATGTATTTGCATATGTCTTCCCTGAATGTTTAGAAATTAACTTCAAAAGAAGTAAAGTAATTTGCCTTTACCCTGTAGTTTTGTTTTTTTCAGTTTGAGGGCTCACACCTGCCTGCTTGACTACTAAATTACTCCCTAACAGATTGAGAAAAATACTCCTTTAGAATTTACCTTAAAGTTGGTCTGTGGTGGTTTGCACTAGCTGATAGCTATTTGTCTCTCTCTCCATGCTGCTTTAAACTGTTTTATACTGGTTTGGTGATGGTTTAGCTGGTCACCTATATGCTGGTTTGGCAGCTGACAAGCATACCACCATGCAAAACTCAACATATGCTGGTTTACTGGTGACCAGTTACACAAATTGTACTAATTTATCACAAAATAACCCACAGGTAAAGAACCTTTGTTTTTAACTTAAGTAAACTAAAAGGCTATTCAAATTATATGAGCTTTTGGACGTTCTTATAGTTGAGTGATTGACAATATATAACGTTCTTATATTGAGTGACAATTTTTGACTGAAAGATTTCATGTAATTTATTGAACACTGATAGCTGCTAGTTAGGCCTCACATTTATACTCAGCCAGTATAAATGACCTTCCCTCAGACTGACCTCATTAACTTGCTGGAAATGTTTCACCAAAACAAAATGAGTCAAAACAAGATGAGAAAAAAAAAAGTCTAGAAAAGCTATCTAGAAAGCTCACAGAAAATGTGCACTGAGCTTGCTAGTTACTCCCAATTTGGGAAAATGCAGGAAAATTTGGGTTGGCAACCATGGTGAGCAGTTATGTATCAGGTGTGGTCAGAGACACTCTGTCTAGCCCCCTAACTCCCTTAACCAAGCTGTCTGTCTGTTGTTCTTATGTTCATTAAAACCCTTCCTCCAGTACAGTATGTCATGCTACATTGGTCTGACGTTGGTTAATTTTGCTACTTTTTCCCCTTTTAAAACATGTGGTTCAGTTTTATGCACCAGTTAAGTATTATGAGTTTGATTTAACACCTTGAACACGTGGCCCCTGTGTGCAGTATTGGAGAAAACATCCTGTAGTGTGGACATTCTTGTTGTATATTCACTTTTACTATGTTGGTCTTTTCCATGCTATGTTTCTGATTTGATTACTTGTTTGCATACCTGAATACAGATAAGTTTTATTTTTCTCTTTTATTTCTCCTTCTAGCGGCCCAGCAGGCATGCAGATTTTGCGGCACTGCCCTTTGTAGAAAAAGAGACTGAAACATGACTGTCCAACACAGCACCAGGACCAACCATGACAAAGATATTTAAAAACACTGGACACACTTTAATATTTGTCAAGTCCTCACACATCTGATGATCATCTGAACTGTTAACTGTGTTTGTTTGAAATATTACTGTTGGAAGAAAACCTCATATCTCCAAAATTATAACTTTACAGGAAAAGGAAAAAACATACTTTACTTTTAATGCAAGTCAGTGGAACCAGACTTTTTTCCAAGTCATTTTGGCCCATTTCTTTTGGTCCATTCTTCATGAAGTAAGACAAACTTTGAGTATTGATTGAAACATCATAACCTGTTACACAAGTTTTGTGTACAACATTTACTTTTATCACACATCTTTACATCTTTTCTTTTTCACTCTGGCTGACCCATAAAAATGGATAGACTTCATCTGCTTCCTTTCAGTTAAACTCAGACAAACCTGTTTAACTTTTTAATCATGACTTTAGGAAGTCCAGGAATTCCACTATCCTGAACTAAGATTGAGATTTTGAGTGGCAATGTCCTGTTTTCTTTATATTCCCTTTAAATTATGAATTTAACACTGTAGTTTGAAACACCTTTGTGCTTGTGCTTTTAAACACCAAGGTTCTTGACCTGAATTCCTATAGATGTATTCAAGTACAGTTGCTAAAACTGCATGTAGGCTCTTTTCTGAGAAGTCACATTTCTCTTTTTACTGCAGTGTACAATTAATATAAGCAAAATTAATTAAATAAAAAAGTTATCCTTAATCCGAAGTGCTTATAGGCAATCTTAACAACAACTTTTAAAAATATAGCTTATTATCCAAACAACTAAATTTGTTCCAGGAAATAAGCAAGTTTTTTTCTGCCATTTGCATGGGGGGTTAGCCCACAAGGGGAAACCCCTCTCAAAGGCATGTGATCATAACAGGAAATAACAGGATAGCTTGAGGCTAAGACGTAGAAAGTAGTAGAGAATGTTGGCAATTACGCCTAACGTTAGTTCCGCATGTTTTGTGTTTTTAGAGCCAGCACTTCACTTCATTTAGAGATCCTTGCTAGTTTTGTTGGACAAGCAGTATCACGTACAGAAACTATAAACAAGCACTCTTCCTATCACATCTTCCTGTGCTTCAGGATTTTTGCTGTGTATGAGGCAGATGATATCACATAGGGTCATAACCAGGATCAAAGTTTTAGTGAGGTCCATATTGCAGAAATGTGATCTACTTCACACAGTGCATAAACCGCACTGCCATATATGTTCACTACAAGTGATGATTTCTGATCTCCTTCATGCTTTTCACCACATTACTCCCC